CACAATATCTAATTCTCTAATTGAGAAGTTGTGTACGCGCGGCTCGGCCAAGACGTTGAGAATGAGAAAGCAACGTGCGATTGTGTGCCCGAGAGCCTCGACGCGGCTCCTCCAACCGACAATTCAGCGCTTTTTATCCTCTCATTAGTCGCCGTAGCAGAGAAACCTAGCTGCGCAGCGCACTGGCCATGCCGAACACAACAGCAGGATGGTAGAATAAATAATAACATGCGGGCAATGCCGTTACTGCCGGTGCGGCGCGAGAATGCCTGCCGCATAGGATGTGCGCGCCGAAGAAACCGTGGAAACTATTGCTACTATTGCTGGATTGCAGCTATTGCCGGCGATGTTACCAAACCATCCGTGAGCAAGTTTCTTTGAAAAAGTGACGTGCGTTGTACGGCACGGCATGGCATAGCAAGCGCGCTGAGTACGTCGAAATAATCATGCGGCCAAGGCAGCCGCAGCAGGCCTGCCTGCCTGCAATAGCGTAGTATAGCAAAGCAAGCAAGCGAACAAGCGAGCGCCTAGCGTACGAACGAGTCGAGCGACAAACAACTCGTTCGGTCGCTCGCGCGCTCCCGCTTCGAGCCTGTCTGCTCGGAAAGAAAAAGTTCATTCTATGGCCTTCTTTTATTAGATACAATCTAAAAATACGCGCCGCTCGTGCATCGTCGAGCGCGCTCGGCCGAACACTTACGCCGTTCGCTCGTCGTCAAGCCGCGGACAGCGACAGCGACTGGCAGCGCGAACGGAGAACGCGCGCGGCGGCGGCGCGGCGCGCACACCAGAATTTCTCTTATCTCGGCAGCCCGTACGTATTTACCGCGCGACCGCTGCGCGCTGGGGCCCCGGCTGGGGTCCGCGCTCGGTCGCATCGCTCGCGCAATCGTTCGCACGGCGGTTGGGGGGAAGTCGCGCTGCGCCGCGGCGACTTTCGTGCCGACGCTAACCTTTACGTATTCCGACAACGCACTGCGCACATTTATTTTCTCTTCGCTGTATATTCTCCGCACGGCGTTCGTGTGCTGTGTGTATACTCTGTATATTGTATACTTCGCGTACATATTGCCATGCCTGTGTGATTCCCCCTATATATAAATATATACTGCAGTGTTTCAACTTGACGCACATAGTACATTATGCTTATTATACAGTGTGATACAATTCTACTTCGTTTTTTTAAACATTTTGACTTGCAAGCAAAATATAAAGAATGCAAAACTCTTCTCTCATTCAAACTAGCTGGACCGTTTTTATAAGTTCGTTCCACTTGAGACAATGCTGGGAATTGAAAATTATTATTACTACGGCCGGCCAATCGTCCCTGGCCTAAAAACAACGCAGCATTCGAGTACATAACATATACATACGTACGCAACGCGCGTAAAACAAAAACAAAACTTTACGCGTTCATAACTATGGAAAAACTTTCCGGCGCTAAATTCAAAAACTTCAAACTAAAATTAGTTTCCCGCATGTATCTGATACAATTACTCTTGTTGTGTCAAATTAACACACAGACGCGTAGTAGTAGTAAGTTAACTTAATGGTCTCTGCAGGCGCATTGTCATTTTGTGAATGAAACCATGAAACCAATGCGAATGCGAATTCCAATGCGCCCGACCTCTCTTTGCCCGCGCACTTGCACGACCGCCGCACGAAAAGAAGAAGAGTTTTTAAAGGCATCCCGATAGTGCACACGCATTCGCAATGCGCCCGGGGCGCGTGCCGCCTGTCACCAGCGCATATTTATTTGTGTATTTACGGTCGTCATCGGCACCAACAAAGTGTCAACTCGGCCCGCGCGTAGATTAGTGAGTGTGCGCGCCCCGCTGGCCCGAATGCAAATACAATGGAGCGCCGAGGCGCCGACAATGAGCACAAAAACGCAAGTGACTTGACGAGTGCGTGCGTTTGGACATAGTGGGCAGGCACGTACGCGTACGTGCGAACATCGTTTGCAACTAGTTACTCCAGTAACCCTGGAATTGCATATCAATGGATTTAGAGTTTTATAAATTCCACTAGTGAATTCTGGAATATTTAAAGAGAAACTAAGTTAAGTTGAATAAATTTTCAAATAACAAGTTTTTTTTTTAATATTAACGCATTTATTATATATTATTGAATCAATGTAAATTTTAGAATGAATTATGAATTGTTTTCTAAACATGTACACTGCAGGGTTAAGAAGGAGACATTGCCAGCGAACGGTTCGCCGATAATGCAATAAAAAGCGTCAGCAGGAGGGGGCGCCAACCACGTGCTCTGGACCCAATCGCCGCTATCGGAAGTGTGACATTACCTGCCTTGCTCCTTCATTCATATCATAGTCGAGAGATAGGTCAGTTCCCTTGCGCGATTGATTGATGGATGGTTCGACCGGCCGCTGAGAGCGCGTAGTAAAGTACGTACGCATCGCACACACACATTCGCTCACTACTTTCGTGGTGCGTTCGAAATCGGCTTTATGACGTTTTTATTGCCTCCCAATTATTTCCGGCAGCGAGTGCGATTATTTATTTACGATTCATCAGCGCGCGCGTCGTTTCACGGCCAAACTTGTTTACTACGCGCCGAAATTATTACACATTTACTAATTTTTTGGAGCGCCGCCGATTTATTATATTGACGAGTCCCGCACGCGCGCGCGCGCCACACAAAACACGTGCGTTTTTAAAAAGCTCGTTTCGTTTTCATTAACACCGACTGTCTGCTGTCTCAGTATCTCGACGTGTTTGTGTGTACGTGCATTCATTACGAATCACACCGATTACCATTAATACCGCGCGACTACCTCACTCAAACTTCGATTACTACCGGCGATTACGGCAATAACAAAAATTTTACAACATTTAAAAGTTGTATAAACACATTAACGCCGGCGCAATTATTCATGCGCCGTTCATTCATAAACTCGAAACTCACGCTAAAATATGTACGGTGTATGCGAGTTACACTTTATGCGTATATGCATGGGACATGGCAAAATAAACATTTTGAGATCATGATTATGTTATGCGCGTTCACTTTTAAATTTATGAATGAATCGAATTAAAATTCCGCGTTCGCGCGCGACCGAGATTAATAAGCGCCATCATTATACATAATCAGATGTCATAATATTCCATTAACACCCATCATTGCCAAGATATGCATGATGCGTACCTAGCTACTATCTAAAGCTTAATAAATAAAAATCATTAATGCGGTTCTGATTTCTACCACTCGTGTTATAAACATCCACACACCGACGCAATGCGCGAGCGTGTGTGAGTGTGTTTGTGTGTGCCTGGATCAATACGATTTTCTCCTACACTTTCCACGCACACACATGCACCAACAAGCAAGCAAACACATCGAAGAAGCGTGAATTCGTTGCTGGTGCGTTTTTCTTGCCGATTCCCGCTAATGTCGCGCAGCACGCGGAATTGTAAATAAAATTTCGCGCGGCGTGCGATGTGCGTGGCGAAAGGTCCATACGCAAAGTGAACTTATTGAATGGCGCGCGCTGGAGATGCCTGTCATTCCGATGTGTACAGCGGTTGTTACGCCCACCGTCGTCATGGCAACGACACCAAGCCGCGCTATATTAGAACCGCTACTTTTGTGTCCGACATAAACAATCGATATGAAACATTTTTCTAATGCGCGGCTAGACGTGGTAGACGCAAAAGAAATTTGAAAAATTTTACGTTTCCGGCGCGTGCGAACTGGAAAATTATTTTCTTTTGTGCTTGTAAAATAGTATACGTATTGCGACATAGCAGCGAATACGGTGCGTTGTTTCGTTCTTGCCCGCCTGCTGAACGCCTGAGATTGAAGCTAAACGGTAAAGAGGTGTATGTACGCCGTAGAGAACTAGAAAGCAGGCCAAGTCGAAGATACGTTTATAATAGACCAGCGAATGCGCTACGACTGCGAGTTCCGCTATAAGAATTTTTGAAAGAACCACCAATTACTCCTGCTGGTGATGGTGCCTGGCGGATGGTGGTAGGCAATTCAAATAAATAGCAATTAATGCAGGTTGCAATTTGATATTTTTTCATCATTTCATTTTTTTTTCTTCTAGTTTTTAAACTTTTTAAAAAGTTTTAAAAGTTTATAAAACTTTACGAAATACTTTTTATTTGCTTTTTGTGTAAAATAATCTCGTGTAATTTGCGCAAAAATGTTATTTTATTTTACGATTGACAAAAAGGACTCATGAAAAACGCTGAAAAGGTGGAATCGTCGTAAACAGGCAAGTGTCCGTGTGGCGCCTTCCCCTACTACGGTATGTAGCTTCGCATTCGTTTGGTGTGTGAGCTTGGCGCTCTCTGCGATCAACGAAAAGCGTCTTACGACCACGAGAGAAGTTTACGTCTCTCTGCTGACGCGCGGCTCCGCGCGGGGCTAGATGCCAGGCAAGAGTAATGTCCAGTCGGCCAAGGCAAGTTCTCGCCGTGGCGAAAGTAGCCGAACCTCGGTGAGCGCGCACCGAACGCGCAAGTTTGGCCGACTGCACACACATAAAACCCATTTTCAATGCTTCGCGATCCCGCTCGTTTCAAAACAAAACACATGCGGAGATAGCATAGGTAACTATATTGAGTTTGACAGTTGTCACGTGGAGCCGCAATCGGCGCATCGCGGACGAAAAATTTGAATCTTTTCACTGAGAACTTGCACACAGTCGCTGAAAATCCCACGGGCACTTTGCGTCTCGTCGACACGCACAAAACGCGCAAACTTCCGAACGTCTTTTAGCCGCACGCGAATCCGGTAAAAAACAAAAAATTAACACATCGTAGTTTAGTAAATTCCCTTGCATCCTGAGGATGGATAAACGCAATCCGAGGAGAGTTTCGTTGATGTTTTAGCCCTCCAAACGCGCTGTCACGACTTCTCCGGCTCGAAATCGCACGGATCGATGGAATATTCCGGCAAAAATTTGTTTAAACGACGAACCAAGGGCGAGTTTCTCTAATAACAAATGCGAAAAATGCGCCACTCACCTGAGATTCAAACCACATTTTTAATTGGGACCCCAAGTTGTCATTGTTGCGTGGTGCAACATGTCTAACGTAGAGCGAACGCACTATCACATACAGTATGAACTAACACCGACCGCTGCAGAGTCTAAACAACGCTATAGTCGCTCGACAGACCGGTCTGCCTGTACGCTCGGCAGCGCTCGGTTGTGCTCGGCCCACCTGCATACGCAAAGGTTAGGTTGGCCGACGCTCGAGCGGGCGAGTTTCAAAATTACGCTCTGCGCGTCGAGAGCGAACCGACCGAACCGACTCGACGACGATTTTCTATATTCAGCTTTACGACTACACGCTACACGCCGCCTGCCTGTGTCGTGCGCGCTCGCTCACACGCTGACTCGCTCCTCGTCGAGTTGAAGCCGCCGCTCGACGCTCGCTGCTTGAATGCATGATTCGAACTTTTCGAGAGCGCAATTTTTAAAATTTCCTCAACCAACAAACGAAAAATTCTCAAACTTGACTAAATCATATTGAACACCATATCCCATTCGAGCTCTTACACATACTATCTGCAATTGTTTCATACATTAGTTTGTAAAAAATAAAACAAACGACGATCGAACAATCAACATATCCAATTGGAATTCGCCGAGCTAGTTTCTACCGCGACTGTGTTCACGTTGCTATCGGACTCGCCGCACACATTCTGCCGCCGTTATGTGCGCTCACCTCCTCGGCATTGCTGTGCTCCGGATACTCGCGAGGCGAACGCGAATATACTTTGTGTATAATAATAATAATGTGGATGGAGTCCGGCCGACGCGCGGCGCGGGGCTTGAAGTTGCGATTGTTGCAAATTCTGCGAAATATCCATATTATCACTGAGGAAACAAGCAGACACGTACATAATTTGTTGTTTTCAGGCCCTATACTTATTATTTCCAGCAAATCAATAACGAATTTTCCATGTTTTGTCCGCTGACAATGTTGTAGGTTTTGCGCGGAGTCAGTCATCTGTATAAAAGATGCATCATCGGTGTGGCTGGCGCGCGGTGCTGATGTCACGATGTGCGTTTCGCGGGATTTCAAAGTGCTGATTTTCATTCGCATTCCCTCGTCCGGCAAACACATGCCCGCACACTCACTTAGCCAAGGCAGTGTTGCACTCGTTGGTGTTGGTAAAACAAATCAAGTAACCCAACTTTTCATCTACCAGCTAAATTCGCGTTGGAATACGCGTATAAATTTAACACAGTCCAGACCTGAGTATACTCACTCAGCATATGCCATACTTAAGGCGTATAATCAAACGACGCAGTGAGCAACTGAGCCACCAAACACGTCGCGGCACATCGTGATCGTGATTCATTCAAAATTCTCCGCTCTCGCCGCCGAAACAAACGCAACTAGGTATTATCGCACAAGGATGCGATTCAAAAATGTCCTGCGGCTTGCACTCTCGCGCATGCAAATCATCGAAAAGAGGAATCTATAAATACGTAAACACATTGGACTAGGAGCGCGCGCGCGCGCGCCGATCCCTTTCACTCTTGTTTTCAGCGGTTTGTTTTCACATAAACCCGTAAATCCCTCGCTTTTCATTTTCGTTTTCAATTGCTTCCGATGCACACGCCACGCCGTTCGGGTGATAAATGTAGGTCTATGGGGCTATTATGATGGGCCTCTTCGTCGTCCCATTCTGCGTATTCGTCCTTTGCTTACTCGGATATTTGTATCGGTGTGAGGTTTGCTAGTGGAGTATGTAAACAAGTCGTTACTGGTGTTAACTGCTAAGTGCTTTGATTTTCGGGGACTTTGCGCAGGCATTTTCTTAATTGGAAAGTAATATCTAATGGTATAATTACAACACATTTGCGGAATCAACACCCCGGCTAGTAGTACTACTACCGTACTACAACCATTCGAGAAATTGTTATCACACCCCAGCATTATGCGCACATAGTTAATTGCTAAGCGGGAGATTTGAATGATGGCTAAACATGTAACAACCTGTCACTTAAAGTGTAATACGCACCTCTGTAAAACGTTACAGCTTATTTAATGAGCCTTTTAAACCTCGGCCGCTTTCTGATCCGTAGCGAAATTTTTCATTCAAGCGAAAATAAACCCCCAAACACCAGAAGCGAAACACTTGCTGTGCGGTCGTTTGTCGTTTGCGTTGTATATCATCATAAAACCTCTGAATGGCTGTGACTCCGCTGCGGTAATCAGTATTTTATGATGGCGCCTCTGAAAAGACACAACGGCGACCAGAGAGAACTATCGCCGGGCCGAGGAATATTACGAATTTACAAATTAACAGCATCCCCCATTAGTCGTAATCCTCGGCATTAATCCGTTTGAGGTTAATCCATCAGCACATCGGCCGACCAGGCTTTGCCCAAATTGCAGCGAATGTACTGCACTCATCATGCCACCGGGCAAGTGCATGGTGTTTTAGGCCTTTCGGATGGCTCGGGTTACCATCGGCCCGGCATAATGGACTGATTTCGGTCATCGACGGCGGGCTTGCGGTGTACACAGGTCTGATTTGATTGAATTGTGAATGGGGGCAAACAGCACCACCTCACCCAACAAGTGCTGAAGAAGAATTGAGCGTAAAGTGTAAGGTGCTACACAGATTATTCAAAACATGACCCACCAAGAAATACACCAACAATGGGCGAGGTAACAGGTGGATTATCCGGTGTCAGAATAACACGTTCGTAATTATAATGGAATTACTTGGCTCAATCTGATCCTATAGGTTTTAATTGACCACTGTTAGAAATCAAATTAACAAAAATTCAATTAGGTACATTCAAATCATTTGTTTGCGGGAAAATGATATCTATTCTACTAATTGTTAATTAGATCAGGTATTAATTAACTATCTCAATAATTTAGGATTAGTATCAATTTTACTGTAATAGATTTCTGCAAATAATAAAACAATAAATATTTTATTTGCATTCTTAGTACTTTTGTTACAATATGTTACACTGTACCAACATAAAATTTAAATTTATACTAGTTGTTAATTTAAAAATTCACACTCTGATTGACTGACGTCTTCTAAAATAAAAGAATATCCAATTAAAATCCGGTATACTTTGTGAAGCAGTCTCATAATAATTATATCAAGACTCAATTTGAACATTTCGCAAAGGAACATGAATTGTTTGTTTATACGTTTAAACGGTGTCGATATTTAAAAAATAATGCCTTAATTCGTTGAAATACGTTTGCTGAACTTGCAGTGTAAATAAATAAAGCGTAAATTACATAATTTGAATCGCGTTATCGCAAAGCCGGCGCGCTGCAAGGCACGGTCGATCAGCAATCCATATTGTCAACAATTTAAACGAGAGCCGGTCAAAACACGTCTTAACCTCAACACGCACCGCACCGTGCTCGGATACTTCCCACATCTTACACAGCACGACGGCCAGGAGTTCGAAAGTTGCGCGCCAACGTTAATGTTTTAATTAACTAATGGCGTTTCTTTGTCACACATGACGCTTGCGAAGACGCGCGAGCGCGCGCCTCGCGTTTTCCCCCCTTTCGGCGTGCGAAAATGTGGAATTCGAATTTTCATCACAACACAACCAGGGTGATCAGCGCGCGCGTGCGAGCTGGTGAAAAATTTCGCTGAGATGTTTGTACCTAGCGCGATGCGCGCCTCGCGCGAATGTGTATGATGATAGTTTTAGCGTGTGCACGAAAATATCGACTGCGCACACGAATAGCGTCATTCGGTTGGCATGACAACGAACACGATTTTTCCATGCCTTTTGCGCTACGTGCCCGCCACCTTATCAAGTCCTCGTGTGTATGTCCTGCGCGCGTCTTGTTATTATTAATATAATTGTTGTGGGATACTTTGCAGAAATCAGAACGTAAACAATTTTTTTCCGCTTTTGTTTTTGTTGCTGCTCGAGTGTTTTGCGTTGTTGTTGTGTTAAGGAAACACACACGTTTCTACGCAATTATATAATTCAATGGGCTCGCTGCCAGAGATATACGAATCGCGGATTCGTCCATCTCTGATCCTGCGCATTTCGTCGTCATAAAATATGAAGGCGAAGAGCACACTCGGATTGTTTTTTGTTGTTTTCCACCGGCGAAAACAAAACACGGCGAAGCGATGGGAAAAATAAGTCGAACAAAACGCCGATTTCAATGGCAAATAACAAACACGAAGCAATGGCGTCGCCGTTGATAAGAAAAAAGTTGACACTTTGATATGGCTGAATGTTTGCGGGAGCGGAAATGTTCAATGTATATGCATTTTGCCTGGTTTCATTGCGAGCGGCGGGTGAAAGTACAAGAATGGTAAAATTAGTCTTGGAAAAAGTCCGGAATGGAAAGCAAGCGGCGCGTTCAGTGCGCGGCCGTGCGTTGTGTATCTCGACCTCGTCGCCGACGACGCCGTCGTCGTGGTAACGTTTTGCGCGAGGAGACGAGATGCTGTCGCTGCCGCCGCTGTAACCTCGCCTCGCGGCCCACGTCCGCGATTGTGCGAGCCGAAAACGCGTCGCCGTCGAGCCTTTCCCGCCCCCCACTCCATCAGCAGCGCAGAAAATTAAAAGTGCGCACTGACGTTGACCGCACTTCAAAAATTATCGCAGGCGGCGGGAAAAAAGTTCGAACCTCGTGCGCCGAGCGCAACTACCCTCATTACCATTTAGGCGATCTATCGGCGCATTACCGAATTTCCGAAACTCGATGCCGGAGTTTCCAAGCGGGCCTTTCAAAATATCTCTCGCCGACTATACGCCGACTTGGAACAATATAACGCGCGCTGAGGCAAGGTCCTCGCCGCCGTGCAGTAAGCAGCGTGTGCCGTCTGGTTGTGTGCGTGCGTGTGCGGGCGGCTGTGTCATGACAATCCACTAACCTGGCACCGAGGCGATGCCATACGAACGGAACACGCACACAACCGAACGTATGGTCGGGCCCCGACGCCTGCTCGCACACACACCAACGCACGCGCACACTCACACACACACACACCCGCCCGGGCCGGCATAATGATTTTTAGGACCTACAGGGAATTTGTTTATAATAGTGTGGCAGAAACCTTCACTCCAGTTTTCTAGTTGTGGCGCGAATCGTAAGAAATTCGAATAGAGAAAATAGAAGAGACGATGTTCTCGGTACCAACGTTGGTCAATCAATGTTAACAAAATCCATAAAAGTTGCGCTAACGTAGAGAGCAATCGCTAACTTATTATCAATTACTGTGACTCAGCCGTTCTAAGCCGGCTCAATATTCACTCCGGCTATGGCTATCTTCTTTTATAGACGCTTCTCTGTTTATTCCGGCATTCGGAGTGAATATTGACCAGACCGCGGTGTGGTAAGGTTAGTCGGCGTGCGACGTCCCCACCAACGCGTGCTTGTCGAATGCGTCGTCTCGCTTGCAAACATCAACTGCGCATAAGTCCGCCTCGGTGTAGTGACGTCACCGCATGTGCGCTACGTTGCACAGCATTGCTTTCACGGAAACCTACCATCGTCCCTAGTCTATTTCTCTTCGACAGTCGGCCAGGCGAATAGTCGACGTGCGCCAAACGAAAACAAAGCGCTACACGCACACGACTCGCTTGCGCCGCATTGCTAGTTACATATAACCATGGAATGGATAATTTCGAAACTTCTACTCTGTATTTCAAGCATAATAATGGAAATAAGATAATCAAAATTTGCGCGTACGCGCCTAAATATCACGCGGGGGGTGCGCTTGCGACAAATATCGTATTGAGTGAATTTTTTCGATTTGCGAAAAATCCCCGGCGATGCGTTCCGAAGAGCATCGCCGAAGCGCAAAAACGCAAAGGCGCTGCTTTTTTAATGAACATTCAAGCGAGACGAGGAGAGAGAAACACATTCGGCCTCAAGTCTGAACTCGGTGCGCTCATTAGTTCGATAGTTGCCGCGCCAGTTGATTCTTTTTCATGGCGCTGCCTTCGTTGTGCATATGCACGCATTGCACACGCTGCGCGTCTTTGGAGAATATGCGAGAATGCGTCTCGTGGACGCGGACAACAAACGCGGGCGCACGGACGCAGTCGTCGGCGACGACTAAATGCCATTGCGTTCGAGAGGATTTTATGAAAACTCGTCGGGATCTGCATGCGGCGCTGACGGGCTGAGCGAATCTCGTAGCGGTGCGCCGCGACCAAACCAACCTCGCCTTTGATACCGCATGAGGTGCAGATCTTTTGTGGCCTTTGGTCATATGCCATAATCTCGACGACGAAATGCTTCGAGTTGCGTGTGCGCACACGTGAAATTACCGCCGTCTAATTGCCCCAACTACGACCGCACGATGCTAAGTACACCGCACGTAGCACGCTCAGAGCGCAGATTCAAAATTTTTTTAAATTTTATTTTACACCACTATCACCTAGCCCCAAAAAACTGATAGTAAAACACTGCTGCATAAAATGCATTGCGTTGGCAATTATCGCTCGGAAACGAATAAGACAACAACCGGAAAAGCAGAAAGGGGAAAAATTAATTAACTCGCGCTAGTTTATTCGCGCTCGCCATGCGTTAAAGACATACCTGGCCCGCTTGTGTCTTCGCCTTCGACTTGGCGGAAAGAGGAGCATGTGTGTGCGCCTTGTTGCGTCTTGACTCACTGTTGCGGTGGTTGATTCTTTTTCAAAACCGGAAATAGTTACAGTCTGCTTCGACTTTGGGGTTCCTGTTCCCATATAATATTTCATATCCAGTGCAGACTTGCGTTCGTGACGTCGGCGTCGTTTTTAACACGCAAACACACACAATATACGTTTTAAATTTAAAACAGTCACCTTACATGCACTCATCGCACAATTCCTTGAATGTCCAACAAGTGTTGTAAGTTATGCATAGCGGTGTGATTGGTTGCATAACCAAAAAATGACATTTGACAGATTCTCTGTCAAACAATAAATCGCAACGAAAAATTGTACCTACCATTTATATTTCTTTACGGAACAGAAATAAATTATTTACTTTACATTTAAATATGTAAAATTAAAAATAATTTTTTTGACGCGTTGGTGATATCAATGCGTTTCATGCCGCAAAATAAGTATGTACGTAGCATTTTAAAGTTTGAGGTTAAATTGGGTTTTAATGCGCGGTGCGAGCAACCTATATCGAACGCGCTTCGCACAAACATTCGCGTTTGTTGCTCCTATTGCTAAGCGCTATTCCGTCGCAGTAAATAATTACGCTCGAATGTTATGTAGTCGTTCTCGATACGCACACACACAAACCCAGCATTGCGGGACGAGTGCTTCATGCTTGCGTATTAGTAAATTTTGTGCGCGTACATCGCGCGTATCTTGACAGTGCGTAGGTACGCGTTTTGCGCGATGCGGTTGTTTTACACGCGTGTGCGTGCATGGCCCTCGGAGTCCCACATTGTTGGCGGCGGGGTACGGGCCCGGGGGTTGGACGGTAAATTAGTGAAACAATTGTTACACATCGCAAATGAATTGTGCGCAAAACGTAACGCGCATTCTCGCGGGGGTCGTGCCCAGGGAGTACCAGCGCCACCAAATTGGGTACCATCAAAATAAAATTCTACTAGTTATTACCGTAACTTGTTAGTACCATCGCGTTAATGGTTACCAGCGTTACCAGTAGGTTTCCATGTTGATTTTTAGGTTAGTTCTTTGCTTCATTTTGTTCATAATAATAACAACCATGATAGTATAGTATAGTAATAATAATAACTGCTGCGTAGCGCATAGTGTATGGGGACCACAGCCGCATGGTATTACGAGCGCATGGGTTTTATAAACTGGAAGAAAACAAGTTTGCGTTGTGTGCGCGCCGCGTACCATCGTCGCCTCTCTCTCCATCCTGTTCGGTCTCGTCGGTCGGTTGAGCGCGACGGATGTAAAAAAGCTACCATGGCATCGATCGCCGAGCGCGTCCTCTATTTAACTGTACCAACTGTAGCAGCCACACTCTGCGCTAGTATATTTTACGTATTTTTTAAATTTCGCGGGCTGTCGACGCATGCCATTTGTCAACGATCACGCACATAACCAACTTTGCAAGAATTGCATAGTTTTACGAATTCTATGTATATAATATCATGAATTTACTAACCGGGAAATAAAAATCGATAAAAAAATTATTTTAATTAATTACCCTTTGTGCAACAAAAGTGTTTAACAATTTTGATCAATTTAATAGTAAAATTATATAATTTATATATTGTTCATTTAATTTTTAATATTGGACACGTATTAATATAAAATTACAATTTAAAATGTTTCTATAATTCCTAATTATATTTACATAAGAGCTACTTTAAAAAAATGTCTTTATTTAACCCGCGCATCATTTATATCTCTTTGTTTCTACAATTAATGAAGAACAAATAGTTTAGAGCCCCACTAAAAAATAATAAGACATTGATGACGTAAAAACGCCCTTCCACGTAACGGAAGCTGTCAAACAAAAGCAATAAGAGTTATAAAACACACGTGACATATTCTTATGATACTACCATACCTGTCACAACAAATTCACGGGTGTGTCGGAGCCCCAGGTGGGTGTCATAACGAAATTGTTGTTTAAAATGCAACAATCAAACAAAAAAGTTCGAAAATCGGTTAACGCAAAGTGAACTTCTAGAGTTACAAATACAATGTTCCAGTTGATTCCAAAAAAGTTTACTTCCCCGATTTGAAGTTAAAACTTTTTTCAAATGCAAATATTTAAGAAAACATAAATTAAGAAATTGCAAGAAGCATATTAGGAACACGGGCCGCAGGCTAGTGCAATAACACTCTGAGTATTAGGAAGTAATTTTTACCGGTAATATGTACTAGTTTTTGTTTAGTGTCGGTGATATTAATGCATTATAAATTTTGAGGTTACATATAACCTTCTTAATGAATGGTTGGATCCAAAGGCACAAACGCCTTTTTCAATTAATTCCTTCAAATTAAGGACATTGTGTATGTAAGTACAACTGTATTCGCCGACAAACAAACTACGTCATCACCGGAGGTCGCACCACAGATATAAATTGCGTGCGAAAACAACAAATCAAAGTGCGCACCAATGTGCATGCCCCACTCGGTATACACATGTTGATATATCGTTATCAATCCGATATAATAATTTCATTACGACTGCTTTTATCATGCAGCTATTCCGCGGGGTGCGCGCGCGCCTCAGCATGTCACCGAGTGTGCTCAATAATAATGGCAAAATGGCAAATATTTGTTATACATTCCGCCACTGACGCCGCATCAGCGCTGATGTCGGCGAACCAGGGATGTGTGAGGCCGCATAGCAAATGATAATTGATTAACTTTATTACACTAATTAATTTCCATTTATCAAATTATATGAATATGTAGAGTACATATCTTTGAATAAAAGATGGTAGCGCACTGGTATTGAGTGCATCAACTTGATTTAGGCAATTTCATAACATCTTTTGTTTTTGTTTGTTTATTTTTTCCAATTGGCAATTGGAAGTGATGTCTCTTCGGGTAGAAATTGCGCCGGATTCATTATGGCGTGTACGGTTGCGTTTTGTATTGGGTTGTGTGAGCTCGCGAGAGGGTGGCGGCAAAGGGAATAGGCTGAAGGGTTTAAAATTAAATCCGCTCGCAACCATCTCTTCTGTGTGTGCCATCCACGGCTCTTTGTATATATATTCGAATGTGTGTAGGCTGGCGCGGTGCTGCGCATCGGCGTATTCTAGATTGTAGCATGTTCTCTGCTCCTACTCGCCTGCTTGCTCTTCCTGCGGCGCGCAGCCGAGCCGAACGTGGCAGATGGAGGCAGAGGAGCATGGCGGCGATGGTGGTCCGGACGCAGCCGCGAGATTCCGCCATTTTCGCACAGAGGGCGACAACATCTGGGAGACTTTTCGAACCTATTTTTAGTTGATGGAGTTGATGTACGCGTACGACAAGTTTAATTTATATTCCTCGATCCTCGCTTTAATTATAAATGTGCGAATTTCGTATTCTAACTAAAAGTTTAATTAGTAACGTCGCCGCCGTGCTCTCCTGTGTGATACACACGCGGCGAACATCGATTTTAATTCAGAAATACTAAATTTTGCGTTTGTGTTTAATTTTTATACAATATTGCGTATTTTTTGTTTTGTTTGATGAAACTGAGATCGATTTCATTCATCGTAGTCGTGTACAGGAATATTTTTTCATTTAAAAGAAATCATTTTGCGCGCTAAAAATACGGGGTCGTATTATGGTCTCTGGCGTCGTGCTGCCCTTACGGGGCAACAAGAGGAGAGTCGCGCAGTAATTTTCTTCAAACCCGCCAACTCGGCATCGGGGGTGCCGGTGGTGTGCGCTGGGGCTTTTTCCATAATTTGGCGCCGGCACGTTGCGCTCCGCCGTCGACGCCGCCGTCATTTGGGGGCGGGCGCGTGCGAGGGTGCGATAGAGAGAGCACACCGCCCACCGTGCTCGCTCTCGCCCCGCTGCGCGTATACAGATAGCGCGCGTTCGTTTCGTGTTTTGTCTTTGCTTTTTACGCCAGTCGGCCAGACATTTCTGTGCCGAGCGGTAAACAGAGAACCCAGCGAACGGTCGAATGCGCAGCAGTCTCATTCCGAGTGACGAAGACGGCTGCGACCGGCTGCCGCGATATCAAGGCAGACCTCTACAATGGGAACCGACGTCGTTCTCACTCGCAAACATGTTTCCATTCTCTGCCTTGCCAACGATTTTCGAAAATACGATAGTGTACGATACGCTCATTTCAAATATACAATATTCCAATGCAGTTTGGGATGCATACGTAACAATTCAAATTATTAAATTTCAAAATTAAAGATTTTTTCAAAAATTGTAATTTAGCGATCGCAAAAATATCATTTAACTATCTAACTAATGAATAAAAATTGAATTATACACTGTGTTCAAAAGTTTAGACAAAGTTTACTCAGCGCGCATGCGTAATACCCACTTTTTTTAACGTAACCAAACTTTTTGCTTGGCTAAATTATAAATTTTTCTTATAATAAATAAATAAACTAAATAAAATAAATATTAACTTTTTGTAAGACAAAATTTAAATCAATATATAAAATTTTGAGGTTACAAAAATATCCATTGAAATTTAATTCAAAGAAATTTTTGTTTCGAAATAGCGCGTTGGAAATGGCGAGAATACAAAATATAAAGCGACGATGCTGGTTCTCTACAAAACATTTGAGCGATAGCAGCTATTTTTGTACCGGGTCCCTTCACATCCATAGCTGACGTCAGTGAAGCGCGATAGCATGCGCCTGCTATACTCGCTGATGAGAGAGAAACACAGCCAACCGACGCACCATGTCCCGGTCACATTGTGAGCGCCGCGCGGCGAGTCGCCCAGCCGTATAGTCGACCAGCTCGAATCGTGCAGCACAATGCGCGCCGCGCAGCCGCAAACTCTTTGATTTGTTCGCCGCGCGCACAGGGGTAGCATTTTTATAACCTGGAACGCGCACCATTGAATGTAATTTTCATCTATGACTGCCGTTCCGCACTACACTTACTTTACTTTACGTTAGGTACTGTAATGTTTCTCTCACCGTTGTAATAGAGAACAATCACGCATAAAAAGAAAATGAAAAGAGTGCAAAGCAAACATTACCGATTGATGCGCCTTGATTTAGAAGGAAAGTCGTGCGCGCGCACGCGTCAGTCAAAGAAGACAATTATCGGAAGTAGGAATACGTTTTAAAAACTTTTGAAACTTTTGAATTTGCCGCGTACGCGTAGTGAAGCGTACAACTTTTCGCATGCACGCACCGTGTGCGTCGCATCGGATAGATTCAATTATTTATATGCATGTGAATCGAGCGCGGGTTAATTCACACTCATTTTGTTGTGTTATATCAAATTTTACAACGAGCATTGTCTTGGAAATTTCTCCTTTGTTTACGCCAACTGTATGTACGTACGCGAACATTTTCTAAACGCGTCCCGAAAGGAAATTTATTTCGGTTGCGCACACTGCGCTGCGTTGTACAAGTTTGCATTTACAAATTGTCACGATCGCATGCAAGCACGTGGTTCGCGGAGTGTGCGGCAAATGGGTAAACCACAGCTTTTTACCGTGATTGAAAGAAGTTTCGATTGCTCGCACGCGCACGAGTTACACTTCTATAGTAGATATTCACTGATATTGTACCACACGTTCGCAGGCTACAAATTATGCGAATGATACTGCTTATGAATACCGCGCGTCTATTACGTTTTGTTGCTGAATAGGAAGTGACACATGTTGCTTGCATGTAATCTGATTATAATAAGGGGTTGAAGATAATGTTTCAGTAGAGTTTCTTTGCATGCATAGCAAACTTGTTTGTTTCCGATTGTTTTCTTATTTTGTTTGTTTTTCTATTAACATCAGTTCACTGAAAAACACGGTAATTTCAAACCAATTAGATTTTATTGGTGCAATTAGAAATTGATTTGGTTTTCAGGTTTTGTCGAGTACCTACTTGCTAAAATTCCAACATCTATGGGTCATTGAAAATTTTAGTTACTAATTTGCTTCAGCAGAATTCATTCCCCCTTTCGAAAAAATATAGTCAGGAATTAATTATTAAGAGAATTTAACTAATTTGTATTTTTAAGGAAATTACTCAAAATAGAATGTTTTTTAATAACACTGAAAATGAATTAATTCATGTGGCAGCTTTTTTAATTAGAAATTAAACAATAAATAAATATCTAATATTGCTTATTATTGCAAAAAACCTAACCTCACTGAGATAATAATTTTAACAATTTTGCAATTCTTAAAAGTTTTCTTTAGATATAATTCTACAAGACCGTTTAATGTAGTATAATAGTATCAAGGAAAACTAACCTCAAATTCATTGACGTCACATCAGCAACACGGTCGATTTCAAGGTAAAATTACCGTAGTACGGTTGAGTTATGAATGACAGTTGAATTTACTGCAAATTGCGTTGTTGCCATTCCAACCGCTGCAAATGATCCAACTGTCATTCGTGCGCATGTGATTACTAAACTAAATCGTAATGTGTTCGAAACTTGTACGGCAACGCAAAGATTAACTTTTTTTTTCATTTTCCAGATAAATTTTAAGAAGTCACAATACTTCTACATATTAATTATGATATACTAGATATGATTACTTCTTGTACTGGCGGCATTTATTCTGTTTTCAAATCAAAAGTTGTTCAACTATATAAATTAAGATTTATAATAAAATTCCGTTGGAAATAAAGGTCTCGTAATACCATCGGCAAAGTATCTTGTATAGCAAACCGACACGACATTTAGAAGTTGCTTGCGCAGATGAAGAAACGAAGTAACGAACGCCCTCGTTCTCCTCCGCACTGCTGCGGAGGAAGGACGCGCTCTCCTCGCGTTCTACTCGTTCGTTAAATTTAAATTTAACAACGCGAGTCCTCGCATGTTGTTTTTCGCGACGCAATGTTTTCGCCGCGAGTGGGGGTAACCTAATACAAATTAAACAAGCCGACGTGTTTACTTTATATTTACAACTTAAATGTTGGGAATAAGGATTTTAAAATTTGGTCAAATCATACGTAGAAAATTACGCGAATTGATTACGTAATACTGTAAATTTCGCAAATATTTTGATTCAAAATCTAAAAAGACAAAGGTCCTTATTGTAAAAGTCAAAAATTTACCCAATAATATCTAATTTTGCAGATTGTAGTTTTGGATCAAATATTATGATCCTGATTAAAAAGATCAATAATTCGCCCAATGATTTCTAATTTTGCCGACAAGAATTGAATGATATATAACAATTTCGTAGGTTCATTGAAGAAAGATGGCCATCCTAAATATATCTGAGAATAGGTTGTATGTACTGTGTGTTGTACCCTCATAACTGTATGAAATAATGACGCATCCAGGCGAATGGGACTCTCTAGCATGCGAGAACTACGCTCTACGCTACACGGTCCCCGCGAACTGAACACGCTCACGTGGTATTATTATCGAGAAAGGGAGTGCGGTTTGCGTTCACCGTACTCGCAGAGCACACAGAGAGCGACGGGGTGCATTGCGCTCTCCCTGGTTCGACCGTACCGCGTTGTTTGCTCCCTAGTTCTAGTTCTCTCTTGTAGGTAATGTTACAGACTACCCTGGAGCAGAAGACAACCCAAAGATATTCCTCCATGCTAAATTTAATACCGGATGGAGTATATTTTGAGAAATTACAAAGTAAAAAGCAAGAAGTCATGCAACAATTGCGGACATAACCTATACTCTGGCAGCCATATTGCAAAAATTTTTGTGGTTGCCATTTTGCTTGTTTATCAATATAATATGTGAATATTTTTGTATTGGAGAGATAATGAGGGAAAATTTGCCAACTAAATGACAAACTTAGTGTGTAATTATTCCCGTTCTATGTCATTTTAGTGTGTGCTGCGTGAATATTGATTAAACGCCTCTTTCGATGAAAATTCCCATTTTCCCTCCGCGGCCCCGAAACCGACACCAGCGAGCAACAAATTACACGACGAACAAACAAGTTTGTTACAGCGTACACCATTTTCAAATTTTCCCAAAATTATATGCAAACATTAATGGACCACCATGTTTTAAAATATTTAATAATATAAATAAGATATAAAATTTAAATTACTTGAAAATGTTCGTTAGCTTGCTTATAAACTATAAAGTGTTGTAAAAATAAGCAAACAGAAAGAGCTGACTGAAGCTAAAGGATATTGCCGCAGCCTATGTGTGTACCGTTAGCAGTAGCTGCGTCACCGCAATAGAAAGCCAACCAAATACAATCCGCGCATACAGTACATTAACAAATTGTCGAAACGCATTGGTATCGTCGGTTCGATTCAATCCGAATTCGCCTTGTGAAAAGTTTCAAACTTCTATTCATTCAAAGCTAACCGATCTAACCTACAAATATACCAGCTGAGTTTAACCTTATATACCTCATTTCCAGTATATTTTCCTAAAATAATCTTTAAAAGCCCATGTAATTTTCCACTTGCATCAATCTACGACTTTGGGATTTTCCCACTACCCTCGTATCAACAATAAATATGTTGACCGATTGAGTTACCAAGTCGCACTACAAATACATTACGGAAAAACTTAACCTTTTAAACGTTGGTTATGTTATACATAAATTGTATTCTTTTAATTACTCGAATATGTACTCACTTTGCGCAGCAGATGATGATTACTGCAGTTTTAAAGTTATAGAAGCACGATTGCAAAACATAACATGCACTCACATGGCCGAGAAATACTACGCAGTTTGCAATGCTGTTTTTAGCTTGTTTATTGTTGTCATGGCGACGTAGCGTACGTGCGTTAAGTTGCCTACGATGGCGTTGATCTAATTTGACAAATATCTTGATTATTTGCAGATGTCTGCTATTCTGCATTCTGAATAATGCATTTCATAAAACATTGAAACCCAAACTATATTATTCATTATCGTGAGCGAACGCCAATTCGAATGTGTTTAAGCGCAAGTAAATACATTTCGTGCTGGCTTGCTTTTTGCCTTGTAACATGTACTTATTCAACATCGCCGCCACTGCGCTGCGCCACGCTACACGGCGTGCGCTGTGCCTGTAGCCGCGCATTCCAAGTGTATTACGACCATCCGGCGAGCACAAACTGTTGGTGCTGTTGGTTCAACCTCGATACCATGCGCTGCTATTCTATGCCACAATAATATCGCTACAAACAACATGGGAAAACCAACGCGTACTTTTGTTATTTAACAACGTTCAGCGCACAAACAATCAGTTCGCGTCGCGTTCGTTGGAAAAATGATAATTCAAATATATTTTCAGATTCACTAAAAGACTTTGATTACTGTTTAATTAACAAAATATATTTTCCTGTTCAATTCGTTATAATATTCGCTATTTAAGTCGAAACAAGAAAATAGAATCCTTTTTTCGATAAAAGATTAATTACTCAATACACACATATTGTCATTAATCTATAAATAATAATCCATTAGACGAAAATTAGGAGCAAATGTGTAGAGCCTAAAATTACTCCAATCAAAACCTTTATACAAAATACAAATATAATAACAAAATATATAATCTTTAAAATGCGCACTAGATGATTATAAACAATAACCAATCATCAATCCATCATGATTCTTCATAATTAATATATGATTGTAATGCCATTGAAAAGTCGAGAAAAAAATTTGCACACAAATTAAATCATTCCACTGAAACATAATACGGAGATAATAACTTACTCGAACCTAACAACATGTTAATCGAAAAAAAAATCAATAACATTTTAAAACTACATATTTCTCATAAGTCATTGATCCGAAATAAAAGTTTTAGATACATATTTACAATTCGTTTACACCTCGATTAATTATTACAATTGTTGTAATTTAAGCCGTATCACAAATAAATATTAATTAATCGAAATTCGTTTATGTAACGTCTCAATTTTTTTGTGTTGAAATTTGAGTCCTTATTCGAAATTTATGACGTGACATATTTACATCTTCATTCAATAATTGCCTTGACTTGTGGCGATGATAGGCAGTTGTTTTAGATCTAATTATCAATTCTTTACAATATATTTTGTAACTTAGAACTACTGAAATTGCAATGGTACTATGCCCAACCAGTTGAAAGCATTATTTTAATCATATGCAGGCCATCTCCTGCTTAGCTGCTTTCAAAGCTAAAAAAATCAACAAATTTATTAATAAATACATCAAATCCATCAGAAATATCTAAAACTTACCTTCACGTTCTCTCCTCCTGATTTTCTTCCGCCGTCGTTCAATTGTCACAAGTTCAGCTTTGACGTCTGCGTAAGTTTTGCGTAAGTCTTGTAATTTCTGTAGTAATACTGCTATTCGAGCGGCACTATCCAAATTTGGATCTGTAGCAGAGTCAAATGAATTAAGTTACGTTTTGAAGTCAATCACAATAAAATACGTACCCAATTCAACATAGAAATTGTACTTCAAAGGCCGTGGAGATCGCGTGAGTCTTGATTCAAAGCTGGACATTAGAGCGTTCAGCGAGTGTTCGGAGGTATCATCACTGTCGCTATTATGTCGAGATCTATTTGGTTTGCGCCCGCGCTTCGCAGGTACATCATTCTCGCCCTTGCACGAACGCCGGCGCTTCTTGCAAGGCGACGGTATCTCCTCGCGCTTTTTAGCGCTGGTATGCGGCTCACAATTTAACGAATCTAAAAATGATACTAATGCATATTACGTACATCACAATAATATCATTCCTTTATTTTCAACGTACCTTCTTCGCTGTAATTTGTAACTTTTGTAGCTGCCGCTCGTCTTTGCGTTGAATAATCATTCTCTGCTTCGGTTGATTTGCAACTTTCATTGTCTGCATTGCTCGGAGGAGATAATCCACCAATTTCTCTATAATAAACATGTGTGCAGATTAAAAATAATCCAAACTTTTCTAAATTTTCATATTTCTTACCCTCTTGGTGATAGATTACTTATTGTACTTTCAGGTGTGGTGGGTGGCGTGTTGTCTAGCACTGTATTGGTGTCCCTGTTATTAGGCAATGGCAGTATGATTGGTCCAGGCGATGGTTGCTTTTCTTGTTGCATCATAACACTCTTGCTGTTGCTACTGCTGCTGCTAGGCGCGCTAGCAAAAGGCATCTCCATGACAGCCTTAGTCTTAGGTTTAGATTCACTAGTAGGTGCGGGGGCGGGACTTCCCGGAAAAGTTTCCTCGCACAAAAGTGTTGAATGCAGTTGTGAATCGGGCTCTTCTTCCTTGCTCTCCTCTTCAGGTTCATCAGTCTTGACCTCCTCTTCCTCTGCCTCCTTAAAGTCCATTTTACATTCAGTGATGTTAAAATTGCGTTCTTCAGGTTCTTCGGCATCAACGAGTTTAATAACTTTAGTCTCAGTCGGCTGTTCTTCCGGTTCAAGTTTATCTGATGACGAACCTGATTCCGATTCATCTTCAGATCTTGCAATCACCAATCTAATATCGGAATCACTATCGTCACTATCATCATCGCTATCGATAAATTCCGGACTGACAAATTTCTTGTAACTGCGCTTCCTTGGCTCGGGCTCTGGTCTTTTGACGGGTTGCGGTTTAGGTTTTGGCTCAGGTTTTGATTTAGGCGGTGTAACAGGTAGTTCATCAATAGAATCTACCTTTGTGATTGATTTCGTATCAGGTTTACACGTTGCTTCAACCAATGTGATTATTTTTGTTTCACCTTTTGTATCCATCACTTCCGGTGATTCTTCTGCTTTAATTTCTTGCTGAACCATTATTGGGGTTCTTCAACTTTAATAGATTTCGGCGAAACAATTTCTTTGTTTTTAGTTAACTTCTGCAGGATTGAATCAGCAATCTTTGTTCCGGTTTTTACATTGAGATCTTTAATATCCTCCGCTTTGGGAATAACAATCTGAGGAGGATTGTATAAATCCTCAAGAATCGAGCTATCCGATTCTTGAAAAACGGCCGAGATTTGTTTCGGCAGTTGAACCTTTTCTTTCATGGGAGGTTCGTCAACAATTTCCATTTCGACATCTTCAGCTTCCACGCGGCTTAAAGTAATCGCACTGGATTCGGATATAATTTTCGTAGATTCCGCTTCACCTGGACTGGAGTCTAAATGATTAGTAAGTGCTGACTGCGCACGTTGAATAGACGCTTGAAGATTGGAGTCCTCATCATCTTCGCTATCTTTTTGCTTGATATCCTTGCTCTTTGATAAACCAAAACTATCACATGCTGCTTCGATAATATGATCTGGCGAAGGCTTACCAAAGTTGGTAAACAGCGGACTGGCACGTGTGAAAGTCAATTCGTTAGTACGTTCTTCATTGTCGGATAAATCAAGGCGGTCATCGCTGTTTTCTTCAAAATCTGGGGAATCAAACATACTCAAAGGTTCGGGAACGGGTTCAACCTTAGGTTTTTCCACTGGGGCCTTCTCGGGCGTTGTAGTGGTTGATTTGCCAACATGAAACGATGGCGATTCAACCAATTTATCAAACGGATCGTCAGACACCTCCCTTTTTTCTTCTTTAACTTCTTTCTTGACTTCAATCTCTTTCTCTTCTGGAGGTGTTTGAATTTCTTCGACAACTGGCTTAGGTGACGCAGGTAATTTCTTAAAACGTTTCTTCTCAGGTTCTTCCTTAGTTTCCTGTTTGGCAGGAGACTTCGGCGTTTTCTTTTTTGGTGGTGATTTTTCCACCTCTTCGAAAACCCTTGGAACTCGCTTTTTAATCTTATCATCCACAATCTTCCTGCTGCCAAATTCAAATGGCTCAGGCTCTTTAAACTCGTAAATATCATCAGAACTGGAAGATTTCTCAATAATCTTCTCTTTTATCTTCATTTTCGCTCTCTATCTCTCGTTCTTTACTATCAACAAGTGTAGCTGACTCGTCAGAAGAAGTGGTGTCCTTTTCGTTGCTTTCTGCAACAGTTGTAGCAGGTAGTTCTGCCTTTCGGAAACCTTTAAGCTCCGACCGAATTTGAAGCAAATCAAAGTCGCGTCCTTTCGCGTGCGTGCTGAGCACAGCCTCATCTTCGCTATCCGATTTAATCTCGGCAACTTTTTTGTATTTCCTCGGCTTCTTCGGCTTTTCTTTCTCATCGTCTTCCTTTTCGGTATCCTCATCGTCCTTCCGCTTATCACTTTTCGACTTAGTATGCTTGCGCTTAACCTTGGTTTCGTTCTCTTCGGATTTATTACCGCTACGCGTGCGCGTTAACTCAATATCGCTTTCAGTCCGATCATCATCATCAGAATCGGACTCTGATTGCACCGATATGTCCGTATGCGCTGAAGTACGGCGTGTTCGTCTTGTGCTTTCGCCACGAGTGCTTCGACTACGCGAAACCGGCGTCGCAGGACTTTTAGTACGGCTAGAGGATGACGTCACGCTCGATGGCGTCGTAGATCGCGGAGTTTCCTGAACAGTGCTGCGACCTGTAATAGACATACCGCGGCCTCTCTTTACAGGTGGCTTGGGACTTGACTTAGCTCCTGTCGGAGGTGAGGAGTGCTGCCTCAAACGTTTGGCTTTCGAAGTCGCGCTAAGGTTTTCGGCAATCCTGCCAGCATTAATCCATTCATCATAACGATTATTCCATCCTGTATAATGCACCAAATACATAAACTGACCAGAATTATCCTTGTCAATTTCAATCACTTTCGCTTCATATGTCACTTTTGACTCGTGTGTTGGGCCGTAATAAACCTTCAGCTTTTCACCAATATTAACAGCGCCTTTAGTAGTACTGGTGCTTGGAGTTGGAGGTAAGTCCGATGATTCACTGCTTGTTTTCTCTTTCTCCTCAGGGTTAGTACGTTTACGACCGCGTTTCCGCTCCTTGTCATCATCCGATGAAGATTTTTTCGCTGACTTGACAGATGATTTTGATTCCTTGTCTTTGACAGGTGTCTTGACGTCTTGTGCTCGACTCTCGGGTGATGATTCCTTTTCTTTTTCTTTCTCTTTATCTTTTGTTTTGGGTTGCTGAGATGACTTTGATCTTGTTTGTTGTGACTGTTTCTCTTTATCTTTATCCTTTTCCCTCTCCTTATCCTTGTCTTTATCATCATCTTTCACTTTCTCCTTATCTTTGTCTTTTTCTTTTTCGTTCTTCTTCGTATGCTCCTCGAATTTCTCCACAAGCGCCTTTACCTTATCTCCACTCGCTGGTTTAACTTTCTTCTCTTTCTTAACTTCAGATCGTTTGGGCCTACCTGGTTCTCTTGATGGGCCCGCAACTTCCGATTGATCCGTCGCATCACTGCTGTTGTCACTACATTCGGGCAGTGGTTCTTTTTTAATATTCTTCTTTTCATCCTCGACCTTCACCGGTTTTTCAGCCTTTTTCGGTTTTGGTGTTTTTACTATTACGTCCTCTTTCTTTTCCTTCTCGTCTTCCTCTTTTTCCTTCTTTATTTCTGGCGGCTCTTCTTCCTTCTCCTTTTCGGGCTTAGGACTCTGCACCGGTGTCATACGATCTTTGTCGCGAATTAAAGGCCTTCCTCGATCTTTTTTCGCGTGTCTGATCGGTGTCAACATTGTGCAACCCAAAGTTCTGTAGAACGCTTCGTAGCTAAGTAAACATTTCTTGTACACCTGCTTAACTTGATTATACGCGCTTTGGGTTTGCGGCAACTTTAGTCGCCCAGTGACAGATTTCCACTTTGTTTTATTTGATACGCGATTATAACCACCCATTTTATGCACTAGGCGAAACAGTTTGTAGAAATCCACATCTTTCTGTGCGATTGTTGGTGTTTTATTTAGGGGTGTCCCTCTATCATCCATGAATTTATACAATTGCGCGACGAAGTGATCTTTTTCTTCGGTAGGTTCATCGTCTGAACTCTATTTAAACAAACAAAAGATATCATCAAGTAAAATGCATGTTTTTACAAATGAACAGTACTTACATCGCTATAGTTGTCATCAGAATCAGTCAATTGACTTTGCGAGTTGAACAACGAATTTCGCTCCCAGTAAGGTGGCAACTCATCTTGGTCCATATACTTTAGAGCCTTTTCAATGGCTTCTTTGAGACATGACATGTCAGCTTTAGATTCACGTTTGAATTCCATAATCTCCTTCTTTGGAACAGTATAATATCGACCATCGCGGAATGACCGCACGAGAAATTCATCTTTAACATTTATTCGTACGGTTGGTTGGGCTGACGGAATAACGATCAACCCGGGGAACCAATTGTCTCTGATTCTTTTCTTATCTGAACCTTCAATAACAACTACTCTACCAATATCAGCACTGTACATCTCTAAATCTGGCTCATTTTCCTCTTCACCCTCGCCATCACTACTGTCTTCCCTGTTTTCAATAATATATAAGTTAAAACAATGTCGACATAAACGATATTTTAAGTTAAACTTACTTCAGCTGCCTGCATCTTCTTCCTCTTCTGCCACCCATGACTGGATTCCCAAAATGCTCTGGATGTGTCAATGGTAATTGATCCAACGTTTCACTCTCATTAAAGTGCCTGCCACTTTTCAAACACAATGCAGACCTCCTCAGTGTTGTTATATCTCCATCATCAAACACTACAAATATTTACATATTGCTGTGTTAAGGTATACAAACTAAACTTTCATTAATGATCATATGATCAGTGAACTCACCAACTGTATATTGACTACAGTCCTGAATTTTCGTGATAATACAATCAATGTTTTCTTTCTTCTCTGGATGTCTTGCATTCACAAGTTGGCCAACTCTGATTGGCCCCTTTATAACCTCATCACTCACAGTGGCTGTGCCCAGACCCATTTTGAATGTAACCTAAACATTAAACGTGGTTTAGCCAATATTTCTAACTAATTTAGAGGTGAATTGCTAATGTTAAAAATAATTTACCTTGCATTTTACAATTCGGACAACTTTGCTAACTTTGGCTTCACAAAACGCACCCTTGTACTTCGCGCTGACTGCGGTACCGACATGCAAATAAGGAGGATCGTCTCCTTGCTGAGAACGAGAAATGCAAATGTTAATTAAAATAGACCAATTACTGATACATTGGTGATAATGGAATGGACAAAGACACTTACCATTTTCGATTTGGTGCGTAAATTACCCTACGCCCGATCACTTAGTATTACAATCATTGATGCAATCACAATGAACTTCAGTTGTAACGATGCAATAATTCATTTAGTACGAGAATAACGCGTGAAAATCAAGAAAGCATCATAATAAGGCGTATGTAGCATACGCACGATACACACAAACAAGTGCGATGCGATACTCTGTCGCATGCAACTGGGCCCGAAACACGTATTTCAACTACGTACACTCAAATCGTCCTCAAATGCACGCCGAATATCAAATCGAATATTAAGTTCATAATTACGATCACCTCGACGCGAAACTACGCTGGAAGTTCACTAAACACACTGAATTTCTGCTGTTGAGTCTCACAGCGAAAAAGAAGCGGTTGAGATGACATTATGTCAGTGCCAAACAGGTTTGCCACATTTCACCAAATATGGTGGGGCGCACTGTTGCAACGCAGCGGACCAATCAAAGCGCTGTTGAGAACACGACACCAATCGATATGACTCGAGTACTTGAAAAGCTGTAGCATACGCATACGATTCAAAAATGCGAACTAAAAAGCAAAAACCACAAAAGGGAAAGTAAATTCATACTTGTACAGCTTTAATGCACGTTAACGCACTAATCAATCACGTAAATCAAATGATCAATCACGCACGCACACTTTCCCTACAAACCATATGCATTGTGACCAAATTGAAATATTTAGTTGTAATATTTTGTAAACTTTTGAAGACCAAATCATAACTACTTTGTAATATCAGGTAATAATCCTTTCCGCGAATTTACCTACCACCTGGTCATTACCACAGCTTTATTGTTGTCTGGACAATTAGATGGGACTTTGAATTTATTACTTTTTATTAACAAAACTTTACAAAATATCTTTGGAAGCTAAATCCTGTTCATTAGTTTTCTCTTTGATCAATCGCATCAGGTACGGAATTCGTTCAAATTCAGGCAATTGTAACCAGTCCGTGATATTAATAGGAATCACTAAACATCCCTGACTTTCCAACGTTCGTAACGTCAGTCCTACTTTACTTTTCAGCCTTTTGCTGTTTGATGTAAAATGATGAGCATACAAGCCCATTATTGCTATCCTGAAACAATAATACAACAAGTGAACAATGCATAACACCCAAATAAGTTGAATTTTACAAATAATAGACATAAATATTATTCTTACATCTGTGAATCTTCCGTTAATACTACATCCTCTAAATAATTCGGTGAATTGGATGATGCAAACGCCACGGGAAAACCTCCTTTGCGTAACATAATTAAATGATCTACAAAAAAGTTATTACTTTAAATAATTATATTAGTTTGTATTTAAACATCTTCAAATCATACCTATATGATGATATAACTTTGTTTTAACTCCAGTCTTCACATATTTATCACCACCAAAAACATTTAGTAACGCACCCTCCAATGGATATTCGAAGGGAAGTTTCAATTTATTTGCAGCAGCTTGAAGTGCTTGTGGACTAGGCATGATGTTTTGAATGTCTATCTTGTAAGTCATAATAGCTTGGTTGAGCAGAATCAGATTTTCATAGTCTGATTGATAATCTAAAGAATATTTTATAAACAGTTTTGCAGCATAATAATGTAAAATGAGCTTACTAGTTTTAAACACTTTTTGGATATAATTGTCTCTGAAGGCCGATTCTAACACATCGGTTTTGTAAATATTTAGCATGCACATGTTGGCAGCTAACCGCAACCAAATGATTTCGCGCCTTCCTGCATTCTTGAACATATTCGTCGTAGCAATCATCATTTTAATTTCTGGCCAATGAATCGGTCGGAAATCACTGAGCGCCAAGAAATTGATGAAGTTAAAACCCATCATGGGATCACCATTGTGGAAAAGATCTGGATCGTCCATAAATTTCTTTGATACATAATTAAGTAATTTATCGTTGGTATGATACTGAAACAAATAAAATTTTAAAGCAATTGAAGTTGCCTACGTTCAAAATAAATTTCCTCAAAAGATATAACTTTAGAAAGTTAAATACGCGGAAATAATCACAACATATTTGTAAAATATTACACCTAATTTAACATGTTTAGAAAGTACTGCATATAAATAAGTTCTTACCACTTTGTGCAGCTTTTTTAATACGAATACTGCAGCTTCGCATCCTAAATCTTGATCCATCACATAATTTGCAACTAAATCACAAAATATATCGTTGTAATAAAACGGATATTTACTACTATAGCGATTGGTAAGCTTCGTTAGCGTCGTCTCAATATCTCCGTAATTCAGTGCGTCGATATCCACAATCAAATCTTCGATTAGACGTGTGACCAAGGGTTCAAACAACTCATCGGGTTTGAAATCGCATAACGACCATAATATACTCATCGCAGTCTTAGTTTCCATTGGTCCATTATACCGACTTATCGAACTAACTAAGTTTTCCACACACTTAGCTGATACGTTCTTCTTGGTCGCAAAAAGTAAACAATCGGCCATATGGTTAATATTGTCCCTGTCTAGTTTAGTCGACAATTGAATTTCGAATATCAAAGGCAGCGCCAATTGCATCGCTTCGATCAATGGAGTAGCTTTCATTTGTGCCAGAAGAAAATCAAGAAATATGATTTGTGGCAGCGTAAGGTAGTTTACTTGGTGGCGAAGAAGTTGTAATAAAACTTGTACTATTGTACTGTCTGAGGCTACGCCAACATAACTGACGACTTTCAGCGCTTCAATTGTTTCATTTAATTCGATGACACCTGAATGTTTGCGTAGAGTTCGGCACAATAAGTGAAAGTCGGGATGTTTTAAAATTTGTTGTGTTGATAGTTGAGACTGGCCACTTTTTTGTAATGTGAAAAGTGAGCGAAGTGCTTGCATTAGATGCTTGTTGTTCATTACAACTGCATGAGACTTGACAATTTCCAATATGTTAGAAGTAGTCGAGGCTGTTTTCAGAGAGCCCAAGAGGATGTCTTGATTATGTATGGCCGTTGTTTGTTCCTTTGGTAATGAACGAACCAAATCTATGTTTTGTTGGAATGTTTAAATATTAAATTAAATATTGGTGAAAACCTAATACTAAGAACTGATAAATAGCATAGTAAAATAATTGTGCATAGTCAATGTCAATATTAATATTCCGCAGTTATCATAAAGAAGTAGATATGATTTGTTATTTATCCGCATTGAGCGCAAACATCGCAAAACCACGTTGAATTGACAGAACGCAGCATATTCTGCTCAGTAAGCGCGAGTAAGTGAAAAGTGAAAGACTCATCACGCAGCAAAGAAAACTGCAAACAAATCTCGTCCCCTTTGGCAGGTATTACTGTAAATTATTATTAAACACTTGCCTTTGGTAACACTGGAGAAATGGGAATTAAAATTTATCGTTGTCTGTCTAGGGAATCGAGATTTTCGAAAAAAGTTCGACATTAACTTTAAAACATTCGCCATTATGTTTGTGGTTTGTGCTCTATTTCGTTTCCAAATATATCTGAAATACAAACATAATTTAATTAAATAATCAATATTAATTATTATTGTTTAAATCTTTATATTACGAGCAGGCTAATTTTAAACCGGAATACTTGGCCACCTTTGCGGGAAAACGCACGCGTGTCAAGGTTTAAAAATTTCATCAATGCACACAAGATGTGAAAAACTAAAAATATAAGTTGTGAAAGATTGTGTCATTCATTCATAGTTTTTTATCCCGTTGTATAAAGTTTTAATTACAACAAATAGACGCATAACAAACAACTTTTACTAGAAGCTCAATAATTATACAAATATTAAATCGAGTGAACTTGCATTAAAATAATGCGCGATTTGCAACAGTTTGTAGGTTTGTAGTGTAAATGACACTGGCCTTGATTGTGAGAATGCGCAACACGAAATAAAATGTGTTCATTTTGTTTTGTAGGTGCAAGGGCGCACACGTTTGAAATTGGCGCTGCGCCAAGTGTGTGAACCGCAGTGAGGAAAGTGGGGAAGAGGCTGACAAATCCAGAGTGAGGGTAAGATTGCAACAGCAGCCGACTGTCGAAAGTCACCGAAATGACTAGTAATTTTTTTGTTTTTGTCCAATCGTAGTAAATCCACGTACGGTGCGCGATTATTGTTCTAGGAGCACGTACAGTTGCGCGCTGATAAATAAACAGGTGTAAGTTTTTGATACGGTGAATTGACATTTATGCGACTGCCGAAAAATGGACGAGGAAATCGAAGAGCGCTGTGCTCAGCTGGGTTTTCGCCCACAGAAAGAAATCGTTTACAACAAACTGTTACCGTACGCAGATAAGCTGGACGAGGAATCGCGAGTGTTGTTTCATGACATCAAAACTAACCTCGTCAAAGCGTTCCTCGCACGTGAAATTCGACCGGGATGTGCAGTATGGACTTCACGATTGCACAGGTAAGTTTTTCTTGCCAGCGATTGACATGTCACTTCGATGATTTATCCGCCACTTCAAACTTTTTACTCGTAATTTTAAATATCAGCAACGAATTATTCGCCGGAGTTTTGACATTTAGCGTGCTGCACGACGCATGTGCCCACGTGATGTTAGGAAAGGAAATGTACTGATCGCCTGTCTTTGTCATTTGCATGCCCAGGGCCGGCTTTGAAAACTATATATTTTTTTACCTGCATAACATAACCCCATATTTATGCCACTAATATTTGAAATTTCAGATACATGAAAATCTATGGATTAAAATTTTCGAAAGAGGACCATATTTATCTGATTAAATTGTTTTATGAGGCATTGACTATACCAAATTTAGAACCGACGAGAATAATAAAGTTCGCTGGCACGCTCAATTTTCTTCTGAAGTAAGTACAACGGAACATACCAAAATAAACACTTCTTTGTGCGCGCATTCAAATATGTTGTTTGCTCGCCAGAAAAAAGGAGTTATTAAGTCGCGATGACTTGCAATTGGAATGGAGGCCATTATACGATCTTTGCCACCGCGTCACCAAGAAGAATCGTCTTTGCATTGGGATGTACAGATACTTTTCGTCTGTCGAAATCACCCTGGATCAACTTATTCGGCATTCAAGAACGTACGAGATTAAAAAAAACAAACAAACTAGAAATAGTATCCTAATGTATGATATTCCAGATATTTTCCAGTCAGCGCAACCCAAGAAATTCTTGACGAATTTCGCCCGAAACTATGCCCCCATAGTAGTAAAGACCTTGTGTTTTTAATGCATTATTTCGAAACATTTTTACCTATTACAATGAAACCTAGCGAAGCATCAGTTGGATACGAGCTCTGGCTAGAAGAATTCATGAATTTCTGGGACGTTTGCCACAATGCTGGATCCTGGGAGAATGTAAGTCAACAAGTTCTCTCAATGCTGATAAGTTATATTGAAAAATATGTATGTAATTGTATAGCAAATGGCATCACTGATAAGCTGTCTGGCGGAAAACCATATCGGACGTATCAACTGGGAACCATATGTGCCTGCAATGTTCGCGCGCTTCCTGCGCACATTGCAATTGCCAGTCAGCTATAGACAAAAACAATCCAACAAACAGTTTAAGATCGATATTAATTCGATGACACGCTGGATCGTGTCCTGTTTAGGCGGGCCAAGCGATACAGTCTTTAAACATCTCGAGTCTTTCATGCAAACGATTGAGTCTTATTATAATGTAGCAAACACCGGCCGCTGGACACCGAAGATACGCGACTTTTTACGCAAAATTGCTGCTAATTTTGTGAACCGTGTGCATAATGAACGCTACAAGAAGTATACTTGGGAGAACCAAATCCCTGATGAGTTCAAACTCACCGAAGCGGATATTGATAGATTTGTCACTGCGATGAAACCCTGCCTGGAGCAAGCAATCTTTTCCAGAGCACCCCAAGATGTGACTTTTATCTTTAATTATCTAGCTTGTTTACGCCCAAGTATGATTATACCTCTTGTCTTGGACAAGTTGTACACTTCGATGGATTCTCTCACTGAACCGCACAAGTTGACATCTGCGATGATGTCCATTACCGCCGTATCTCGTTATATGGTTCAGGGTAGTCGAGTTGGTTATCCCGAAGGTCCAACACATGTGATCCCGTTGCTTATGAATCTACTGCCGGGAATTGATCCCAATGATCGCCGCAAATGTTTTATGACTTTCAACTTTATCGTGCAGTTTATTAACATGATGCCGCTAATAAATTCATCAGAGGCGCACAAGTATTACGATGATTTAACTGAAGAGGAGCATATTGTGTGTGAAGCATCCGCTGGCTTAGAAGATTTTGTAGTGCAGTTCTTCGATCGGCTGTGTACTTGGGTGGAGTCCAATTCATTGGAGAGTACTAGATTAGAGCAGAACGATCATGATCGCAGGCTGACCAAGTCCGAAAGTATTGCGGAGAGTGCGTTGGTTTCGGTAATTTCCGCAGTTTTGACTCAGTCATCGCCAGAAATCTTCAAAGTGGCTCTGAAAAAGGTGTATAATTTTGCAACGTCGCGTATCTTTGAAATTAAAGTTTCTGGCAAGATGGTGGGCACTCTCTGTCAAGTTTTCAGCAGGATTAGTCCCAAAGAAACTGCCAAGCTGTTTATTCCGCATTTGTGCAACACTCTAGAGACTTTGATTAATGACACAGCAGACATAATGCACGAAGAAAATCTAAACCAGGAGATTTTATATAATTTACTACTGTTATCAGAGGCAAGTTTTTAAATTTCCTACATTTAAAATGTTTGTAATTTAATTCGTTTATACAACAGGTCGTTGATTGCAACACTGAAATTTTACCTTACATTGAAAGAATAACCAGTCTGCTTGACAAGGCTCTGTTTATGACCTCATTGCAAGCTAACTTATTGGGCACTCGAATGCTAAATTTATTAATGACAACGTTGACTTTTACTATGCCGATTGAGTACAGAAGTTGCTCATTGACCTATGACACTCCGATTAAGGAGTATTTAAGTATACGAGATTGGGGAAAAGCGGGAAACATCCGCGACCTGAACATCAAATGGTACATGCCCGGAGAGAAAGAGGTTGCATGTGTTCAAAGTTTATTAAATCACTATTTAGTACCTGAATTAGAACGGCTTAATGCATATGCCAGTGGAAGCGTGGTTTTGACGCGTCATGAGTTGCGCAGGACCTTCAAGATTATCCTCGCGAGCTTGGGTTGTCATACGGTGCTACCTCTATGGAAGGAACCGGCAATGAATTTGATCGATTCGGTGATAGAACCATGGGCATTTGAGCTTATCGTAGGCAGTCAGCTTAGTGTTACAATGCCGGACGGTAGCAACGTACGTAAAACCGTGGCTGATGTGATTCACAAGGTGCAGAAGAAAATTTTAGAAATTGACGAAAGTGATACTAAAAGTATCTATAGTATTATACATGTACGTATTAAATACTAAACTTAATGAACAAATAACTAACTCAATTATTTTCAGATTTACGATATTTTATTGTTTAATAAATTTCGAGGACGAGATTTTGAATTTCACTGGAAGAATTTCCACGCAGTGAAGATTCTACTTGAAGATAAACTGCACAAGAACAAGAAACATCTTCGACATATTCTAATCGACAGGGTAATGTTGCACCAGGAGTTCCGCAATGAAAGTCGTAGTTGCAGTTTCACGGAAACTCACAAACAGATTATGCTTGATTTGTTTGAGTTATCCATTAGCCGCTACAGTGATATTCGCGCTGCAGCTCAATGCAAATTAAACTCATCGATTGGGACCTTCCCATATTCGTATACGATTCTAACATCGCAGATCAAACGCGTGCTACAACTTGATTCGACAGAGAATCACGAGAAGTTTAAAGGATGCCTGTATGTACTATCAGGGCCGAAAAGTACTCCGTTAATTGCACGTCATGACTGGAACTTTATCAAGGAGATTTGGCCCCTACTGGTGCGTTCACAGCCGTCTGAGAAACCATCCATAGTTAACTTGATGGACTATCTGGTCGAAACTGTTCACAAGTCTTTTCCAACTATTGCTATTAATCTAGAAGTACCTGAAAGTCTCATTCAAGTTGGATACAAGTTAGCTGCTAGTAAACCGTCAGTGGATCTTAGTCAATTTGGCCCGGTGATAGAAAATGGACCTAAGGCTTTAAAAAACCATTGCGATAAACAATTGATTGAATACAAAGAACTTATAAGTTCTCTATTGAAGGCTGCAACTGAATGTAATTTACACTGGAGGTATTACATGATGAGTGTGTGTTTCTTGCGTGATTTAGTTCATCCGGATTTAAAATACAGCCCAGAAGTCGTGCAATTCTTTTGCCGATCACTGATAAACGAATCACTTAAAATTCGTAAAATAGCTGTTAAAGTTATGCTTTACATTATGATGCAGAACAAAGTTATCTATCCAAAGATTAAAGTTGATCCGTTCAGTTTTTCGAATACTGCTCCAACTAAACAGATCGCGCCAGGAAACCGAATTGATAATGATTGGTTACTTTATAATAATCAGACTGCGCCTAAGAACTCCGAAGAGTGGAAAGCCCCTAGATTTGTGCACAACGAATATACTGGTTTTTATTGCTGGCCAGTGGATTTGTATGTTTTCGATTATAGTACAAACTACAGTTTAAATGCAGACAATATGGAACCGCAGCATAGAGAAATGCTTGCGTTTTTTAGTAATAAGTCAAACATCGACATTTTGATTAAATATTACTCGATCGAGGAGAAAAAAGGCAATGACAAGTTTAATTCTTTTAGATTCCTGTTATTCAAAGTAAGTTATGCGATGTAAAAAGTTAATAGTTTTTTTTAAATTATTTGATTGTAGTATTTGTTCAAAATGTTCAACACCCAACTGCTGCCTATATTTATGCCGCACTTGAACCAACTAGTAGAAGATAAGCAGGAACAATCACAACGCTGTGCATCTGAGATCATATCTGGTATAATCAGTGGATGCAAACATTGGAATTACGAACAGACGGTCGACTTGTGGACGGAAATGATTCCACTGCTTCGCAAAGCGTTTAATAACTTGTCAGCCGAAACTCTGTTCGATTGGGCGAGTTGTATTGGTATGGGGCTGGAGTGTCGCGATCCGAATCGATACAACTGGCTCTTGGAGTTCCTGATGGACGATCCTTTGAGTGAGAGTACTTCGTTCTTAGGCTGTGCGCGCATGTACATTCTTTATTGCGCCCTCAATCAACAATCATGGCGCAATGCGGAATTGTACAGCAGATGTTTTACTTACTTTAAGGCGCATCTTATGCATCCATTCCAAAACGTGCGTGATAGAATCAGTACCAGTTTGACGCATATTTTTTGTAAGGATATTGTCTTTCCAAATGGAAACGAGACGAAATGTCCGCATGTGTCTGACTTTTTCGACGTTGTTAATCCAAAGTTAAATGAATTGTATGACAAAACCGTGAAGAAGTTTGAATATGACCGAGATATAGTGTATGATAAGAATGCGGTCGATAACACTGCATTGGAGCTTAGTAAGATTTCAATTATGGACGAATCTGAGAAGGAAAACTTACTTCGACTTTTCAAAATCTGTACGTATTAAACGTTTAGTCTATTTCAAAATAATAAATAATAAATTGTTTTCTAGCTGCAAAATATGTAACTGGCAGTGTGGTTCGTGCGATTTATACGATGAAGCGGGAACATTTTATTTTGTTGCCGTTGGCATGCGTATTTCAAAGCAATGAAGTCGATGACGAACTGACGGGCATTTGCACGAATTTGATCGTTGTGTTTGGATGCTGCGTGACACCCAAGATCTACTTGCCAGATGCATTGAAAGCAATCACGAAAGTAGCAAAATGTCCGTTTTGGTCGGCACGTGCTGTGATCGCTGAATTTATACCAGTATTTGTTTTTCACAACATGGCGTCTATCATACACACAAACATGGTGCAAGAGGTAAATATATTCTATTGCCAACTTAAACATCAGACCAATACGAGATTCAATAGATTTTAGATGTTACATTGCTACTGTTGGAAGATGTACAGCCTGAAGTACGTGTGAAGGCTAGTCAGGCAGTTAGCGGTTTCTTGCATGTAAAATTCATAGAAGAACCCATAAAGTTACTCGAGACGTTCCGAAAGAAAGCAAAAACCAAATTGAAGGCGACCACAGTTGGCAAGAATTGCAATGCAAAGATACGCATTCGTCACGCGGGAGTCTTAGGTCTCTGTTCTTATATCAACGCGAACCCGTATGATGTCCCGGATTATATGCCAGGAATCTTCGAGGATTTGGGACCACATCTTAATGATCCTCAGCCTATTCCGGTAAATATATCTTGTTCTATTTTAGTTATACGACTAATATCATTTTTTAAATTTAAATTAAGGCAACGATCCGCAAGACTTTGGGTGATTTCAAAAGAACGCACCATGCAAATTGGGACGATCACAAACTAAAGTTTACGGACACCGAGTTGTCAGTGCTTACAGATTTGACAGTGCCTCCATCTTATTATGCTTGAACAACTAAACTAACTATTGGCACAGGTTCTGATATCTATCTGGTCTACGTGTTTAATTGGTGATGTATTTGTTAGACTAAGTCTAGAGGTGTAGGATTATTTAATAAGAGATGCCGATTTTATAAAAATGTTTAAATATTTTCCTTACAGCTGTTGATAAAGCAGAAAAATTATTTATGAACTGTTTAATTCTTCCAAAATATCCCGACACTTGTTTTTCAGGATCATGATGGACTCTTTGAAAATGTCAGAAGGTTGCATAGCGCCAACGGATTCAATTGTGACTGTAAATTAATGTAATTATTTTTAAACATAAGACATGCTTTTGTGCTTACATATGAAGTGATCTTCGATTTTAGTCATAACCACAGCATCTTTTAAATCGTCATAGCGAAACACGTTTCGACTAGAGAAGTCATACCGTGCATTTTTGACAACGGCCACTTTTTTGTCCCCTTGCTGTTCAAGTTCAATTACTCCAGCAGAAAAACACTTCTGTAGTCTTTCTGCTTGCTCACCTTCAACTTCCCTTGTCAGTTTTATATCTGGTAGCAGTCTATAATATGCAGTAGCTAAACAATACAGAAATTATTAATAAATACTAAAATACTAAATAGAAACAAACTGTTTACCAACTGGTGAGAACTTTGCATGATCTTTTCCTATCCCTTTAACAGCCACCAATTTCATGTCTAATTCATGTCCAGGTCTCATTTTAGAAATAAGAATATCATCCTCAATGGGCCCTACTTTACTCTCATCATAGAGGTCACCTTGATTTCCTAGTGGTGACCATTTGATGTGTTTAGAATAAACTATAACAAGCAATAGCATAAATTGACAAAACTTTCAATTAGCAAATGAATAATTTACCATTATTATTCTTGTACATATCATCAGGTCTGGCTGAATCTTTATTACCATCTTTGTTCATGGTACATTTAATCTTCAGCTCAAATTCTAAAGTGTCCACTTCAGTACCATCTGCTTCAGGATCAGTTTTAAACTCAAATAGTCTAGGATCTGCTTTGAGCGGAATCAGTCCTAGTCTCTGTGCCAAAACCTCATCCTGTATAACTGATGTGTTGTTGAGTATATGTACTTTTTCTATTGCCATGCTTGGCACTTCACTGATTATAAGTCGTCGCAACATATTCGCAAGAAAGGGATGAATCCCAATTAAATCAAATTCCATTTCGTAATTTTCATCACGAATAATGACTATGCGAAAATTCGATTTGAAGCGTTTTATAGTCCATGGCTCATCAAAAACCGTTGGTGCCGTGGGAATATTCTACAATAATATTTTGTAAGCTTATAATATACATGTAATCATTCTAAAGAAGAAGAATTAGGTAGTGTGTTACCTTAGTAACTTTATATTCGTTTAGAATAACTCTTGGTTTCTTGTCGTTAACTAGATTCATTTTCTTGTTTATCAAACAACGTGCTCACTACAAACTGCGTTTAAAAATCACATGGATGTAACCTCTCAAGTCATTCCAAACATCGTCGCAACTTTTTTTTAACTCATAACATAGGCAACTCTAAAACCATTGGAGTAACTGTTTGAATTGAAATGAGCAGCTTTTTTTGTAATATTTTTTATGATGCAAACCAAATTCCATTATTTTGTTTAATAACAAGCTACTGCACATAATATTTTTGGTTTTGAAAGAGTTAGACATTCCCCTTTGCGCAACCTGAAATGAAGAGAAATAACAAATAAATCTGCGCCTGGATAACTGGATGACTCAGGTACAGTTGAGTACTTTTGTTGATACCTAATTATGTTTGGTCACTGTGCGCTGCCCTTTAATACCAGCTGGCAACCCGCAAAAACTGATGGGGGTAATCGGCGGATTCATGGTTTATCACTCGTGGGTAGCCCGCTTTGACCAAAGTACTATGTTGTGCTACTCAGTAGTGCGTGGAATGTCCAGCGACATAAAAGCAGGTCTTCCGTCTCTGGTTCTCAAATAATACTGATTACTAAATTCTTATTGAAAATTTTAGGGAAATAATTACAGAAACACAATTAATTTCACATTAATACAGAATTTATTCGAACATATAGTCACTTATTATTGTTGTGCAACAGTTATAGTTAACTAAATCCGCTTCAATACTTATTGCAAACTTATTCTCACTTAAATATTACTTCTTTAGTTTATTGAGATTGTAAATTATTAGGTCGTCAACTCCACCGCTTCTCAAGTCTCTTGATTATCTAAATATTAGCTTATGTTTTATAAATATTGTGGAATAAGTTTAAAATGTTTCAAATACATCAAATATTGTTAAATGTTCCCACACCTTTGTCAGTACAGTCATTTATATGTATATAAAAATTAAGGTACAACAAAATAAATACTGATATCGAATTTATTACATTCTAGTACCTATTTGGCATTTAAAGCAAGTAAATGTCGAAAACCAACTCCTTTAAAGCTTTTCGTTGAATGTTTATCGACTATATCCCATAATTCTATTTTTTCATCTAAAAATTGGAAAAGCAAACTCATTTAGCAGCGTTTGTATGTGCTAAGTAAATGTTCTACCCACTTAAGAATGTAACTCATGTACACAAATTTAAGTCTACTTCAGATAGTTATATAGATAATCTCATAAAAAGCTTGATTGACTCTGTAGTATTTTATGCACAATTATACGCTACAATTATCAGTTTAAATAACCTGTATCAAGGAATCACATTTAGAGCATAAATAAGTCCTCCTCCAAGCGACATATATTAGATAAGTTTTACCTTGTTAGACATGATCATCGAATTTGTGTATAGTTTTAGTTTATGAATTCTTAAATCTATATTTATTCTGCATAAACATAAGTCCCATAATTTTAATATAAATAACTCAAAATATAAATATATAACATATAACATGTGTATTAAATACATTGTAGTCAACTTATTGCTTCAAGTTTAATACTAAAATATGTAATTTCTTATTTAGGCCCATTGTATTCGTCGCGCAATTAAATTTTACTTAAATATTTAACATATGTACAAAGGTAATAAATAATCCAAATCCTTTACAAATCCTCCTAGATTTTGCTGCACATATGACAAGATTCGACAATTTCATATTGTACTAACTAATAATCTCGAAATATTTAAATATTAAAGCCAACTTAAGTAACAAAATCAGTGCCATACTTAAAAGTGAGCGATTGAGTTCTTAAACCGAGTTAGTCCCGCCATTTTGATTAGGCTCTTGTTTTCCACTATGACTTTTATCGGTGTGCAAGAGTTTCGCAACATATACGCCCTGAAAATAGAAAAATAATAATTTCAGTAAATAAGCATGTATAATTATGTAAATGAAAGGAAAATCAAATAAAAAACTAATTTTTAAAACAAAAACTAAAAAATGTAATTATTTACAAAACGGTATAAAATGTTAGAATAATACTAATGCTACTTAGTCAGACCGAGGTTTAATATAAAACTTAAATAAGGCCTGGAGTGTTATCTAGCTGTCTCTACAACTTAGTAATGGAATATATTGCGATTCAAGGCTTGGAGGAATAGTGTATTTCGTGTTATTTGTCACACCAAACACATGCATCTACAAAACCAACATGAGAGAAACGTGATCAACAAAATGCTATGGCTACAATGATCGATAGAAATAGTACATACGTTTATGACTGCTGATACCACGCCGATTGCTAATCCGGCCAAGACATCGCTCCAATGGTGCTTGTAATCAGACACTCTGGTCATTCCCACCCATAACGCCCCTAATACAGCGATGTATTGAATGGAATGTTTAATTATGCTCCAAGTTCTGCATTTGAATCGGGCACCAACAAAAAGCTGCAAGAACAATCAATTAAATTCCAGCAAACACATAAATGATTTACTGCTTACTGCAAAATACAACATTGTGTACATGGCAAATGATGAATGGCCTGATGGAAAGGATAATCTGTAATTTAATCATTATAAGAATGGTTTATTAAATACCGGTATAATGTTAAAAATATTACCTCATTTCTTTTAGTTGGCGTTGTGATATATCAGGATTTGAACATTGGTAGTCTGTAATATATCGATGCAAAGATGAGATGTTACTCTCACAAGTAGTACCCTGGAATATTGGCAGGCAGAGTGTGTAGAAATGCGGTCGAAGCCTGCCGACAGTGTACTTTAGTGAATCTGTGATGCATTGTGAACAAGCTGCGCCAAAACAAAAGAAGATGAATTCCCGATAGCTCTCGAATATCCATTTTGGTATTGAGAATCCTGCGACAGTCACCCTGGCTTTTCGATCTCCCTTAAATTCACTAATAATGATCTGAAATTAAAAAAAGTCGCATGTTACAAATCAATATATTTTAAAATTGATGTACCTTCGTATGTTATTTATGGACACAAAAACGACAGATTTTGATAAAATTATCATACAGTCATCAGATTAGTCTGGCAAAAATATAACTTAAAGGAAATAAGGGATAAAAGTTGATGTGGAAATTTGATTATAGTTTTATCAATATAATTCGAGTCATAATCACGAAAATCAAGAAAATAATTTATATGTACAATACTTATGGTGATACCCAGAACTGTGCTGATATGAATTTATCTATATTTTATAATATTTTATTTATTTAAATGTGATGTATGAATATATGAATTACAACTTGGTTTTTGAGTTGAGTTGAATAAAATAATATAAAAAATGATAACATGGAATACGTATTCAATATTTTATCTGCATTATTCAATTATTATTCCCGTGGTAGATTGTGAGTGATTCATATATTATCATAATTATCAAAATTTGCCACTGCTGTTTGTTATTTAAATTACTTCACACACGAATTCTCCTGAAACTTCCCACGTAATGTTTATTGCATTTCGAGAACAATATCACATGAATCACAATCAACGTCATGCGCATAACAAGAACAGCACCACCGAGATAATCTCGCATGAAATGATAATTCAAGAAAATCAATACATACTAACTTGTGAACAATTAAATGTGTCTTGTTTCACTCCAACAAGCCAACAACTTCCCTCATTCCCACAATAGATTTGTATCAAATATACAGCAATCCACGAAACCACAACCATATGGATTAAAACGAAGCCACAAGATATAAATCTAAAAATAATTCTACAAATCCCGACGCTTACTCATATGTACATATGTTATCCCAGCGTTATATCCCTTAAAATTTATTATTAAACGCTTTGCATTGCGAAGGCATCCCATTGAGGTTGTCACCAGCGGCGACGCGTCGCCGTTTAACTTTTACTTACAACAACAAACAGGCGCCGAGATCTTCTCGACAGCGTCAATGCATTAATATCCCAAGAAATACGTATGTAGATTCTCTTCGTTAAAAAAAAAACACAATCCAAACGCTCTCAAAACAATTCCTGACAAATTGCCTTCGGTTAATGTTACCACACGGTTTGGTTGCTACAAGTGTACGCGTTTTCATGAAGCGTTTAATGGCTTTGTAATGTTGGGCATATCACCGAATACAAAGCGATGTGCGCGCGACAAACATGGAAGCATGCTCAAGCCGTTCACCGTGACCTTTTTTTGTATAATTTCGAATCAGATTACCATAAACGGTAGAACAGGGTCTCTGAATGTGTCGATGTGACAGTACAAGTGGACTAATGTGGTCCGAGCGTGTAGATATCATACGCTTCGGAAATAATTTTGTATTTTTTTTTATATTTTATGGAACGTGAACATAACATTGGTTTATTATTCGATATTGATGTAATGCTCGTCGATGATAGCATCCTGCATCATAAATATTGCCGATGACATAAATTACTTAATTCAATCACATAAAAAATTCCACGTGCACCAAAAATGAATAAAAATCTTTCTATAAAAAAGTTAAAACCTGTTTTCATTGACCCGACAAACAAAAACATTTTGGAACAATCTGTTTAATTATAAGTTCCCCAAACTTTTAAACGCATTCAAATTGTTTGCGTTTGCGCTTTAGCAAGTTTTAATTAAACACGCCGCTCGACAGAAATATTAGAGTTCAGCATTTTACAACGTCTATTAACAGTTTAGCATGGTTTCCGTTAAAAACAACACATAAAAAACGGTAAAAAATCGAGTATAAAAGAAAATGTCGTTGAAATACCAAAGAGAATTCGCGGCCTGCCTGTTCGGAAGTAAAAATTTCATCGCAAATGAAAAACACCGCAACGTCGAAGCTCGCTCGCATTTGCATTTTATGCGCGAGCGCATGAAGCAAGCAAACTGCCGGCTTTCGGCGGTTTATAAAAGCTGATTATGCGAAACCACGAACCGCAACTCGAGGCTTCGAGAGCGTATCATCTTCAACCACAAAATGTGCTTGTCCGATGTGGATCAAAAAACTCCACGACGAGCGGAATGCGTCCACTTACACTTTCAAACATGCCGCCGCAAGAGAAGACAGTTGATGTAACCGTGCATTCTGCATTCAACTTGCGACCACATCGCATTACACGCACGTCACACATGACTGCCAATTAATTACCGCGCTGATAAGAAAACAAGCACTATAAATTAGCCAGCAAATGATAGCAGCCCAGAGTAGTCGTAGGTTGCCAGCTTGAATTATAATTTTGGAATGCGAACAATGTGAACGCTTTATCGATTTCCATCCGGTCTGTCCACATTTTCAGATAGTATGGTTACTTATACACTTCGGGAGTTATTTACGGTATTAAGTTTACCTGAAAATGTTTGATTCATGTTAATTTAATCGACTTTGACATCTTTTACAATCAAACACTTCAATCTGGAATTATGTTTGTTCAATAACAGCCTGATTATGCATAAACACGCACTACATCACACTTTATATTAAGGTATGCACAACGAGGACAAATCTGATTTTACAAATCATTCATGCCTCGAAGCGTGATTATTATAATTGAAATATTTCCTGCCTTTAGAATTCAAACACCTAAATCAAGTATACGTGATATAATCATTGTTATAACTTACAACCAACAATTTCAAGTGTCACATCGCCTATAATCCCTTTTCAATAAAAGATAGCCATATGAGTTGCGGCTCGTATGAAATATATAATTAATGTAATGCAAACTTATCGATTTACGATGTGCCAGCGCCGAGTGCAGGCAACTTTTGCTTGCGTTACATTGGTTGCATACTATAACTATAACCTATAGCCAAGCGTAAATCGTAACAATTTTTATTACTCTGCACTCCAGTCAGTAATAATTTTTACGACTTCTTGGTGCATTTGCGCAGGTTTGCAACTCGTGCGCACTTAGCAAATTAGCATCAAATGTTTTCGAGGGCCGGTTTAATACATTTATTGAACGATCGGCGAAAATACTTACCGCTATCAGATTGCCGCCGAAGCCAAATATATACAGATAGTAGCTGGGCACCGTGGAATCATGGTAGGGATGTCGCAGACTTTCGTCATCGCAATAAAATCCTCTGTGGAATGCTTTGCCCCACAGGAAAAATGACAAAACGACTAGGCCACCTGCAACAAATAAAAAATTTTGATATAAAAGGACCAATTCACGTTTGAGCTTTTGTGTAAAGCTATATAGCTTTACCTAGGTATAGGGCATTGGGTTTTGTAAGCCGAGGTTGTTAAAAATGTGCCTTTTTGTTCACAATTCTGTTAGGTCAGGTTAGTATCGTGTGTGTAACGTGTGTAACAAACATAATAGATGAAAAGAAACGTCAGAATCGAGGGGCAATTCGGTAGCAGTAACGTTGACTAGCGGAAATCACATTTTTATTACATTCATAGAAAATCATATCAAAAACACGCAAATTATATTCAAAATTCAAACCTACAATATTTTGGGGAGTTGATGACTATTTTTGGCTACTGTATTTATGTCTGCGTCACTGCAAAGTTTAATGTGTTTTCAGCCCTCTATAAAGTTGTGCAACTAATGCAGTAGGTAATTTATGTGCCACGTTCCGAGCCATTGAAATCCACACATGCACAAATCCCTAATAGTTTATTACGCATGGGTGACACACAAATCGAGAGTAGGGCTCTCTTTACGCTTCGATCATAAAGAGAATGCGATTTCGTGCGATACGTAATCCACTGGTTGTTCGCTGAACCAGCAGCTTCGATTTATATTTTTAGCCACCTTCTTTCCATACATGTTCGAATGTAAATAGTTTCCAGTTACACTGTTGACTTTCGTCATGTGGTATGCAGCAAAAGGGTTGCATGAACATGACAACAAGAATTTTAATGCCGTGGATATTTGAGTCACTCTGAGGGGTGAATAATGAGAATAACCGAGCTGATATAGGTACAACACGCGTGTTCACAAATTATTTCCTATTTGTACAAGAACCGACTGTTGACTTATAATTTGCTATTCTTACTCTACTTGCGTTAATAACTCACGAATATGAGTCATTGCGCGTGGGCACCAGCGTGTAACTAGTTCTGGGTAATAGAAAATAGTGAAAGTTAATTTCTACATTAGACATGGTAGGCACAATCAGGGCCGTATCAAATGACAGGTTTAAAGTTACCTGTAGCCTGTATACACACGCTGATAATCAAAAAAGCAATTATGATAAGAAAACCCGAAGAATTTATTTACTTAACTCTTAAAGTCAATGTCATAAAATCTACTCACGAAATATTCCGACTACTCTCAAATTACTTTATATGAGATGACAGATAAGATGTCATCAAACTTGTTGGAATTATTTGGCTTGAAAACGCTCTCATTAAGATTAAGTACACTTAAATCCTAACCTGTAGGCGAAAGTAGACTACCTACTTGTACATAGTTAGCGCTATAGACCTACAAAAGAAGTATCTGTATTATAAAAATAGCTCCAAGCGCGGAATCCTAATTAAAATTTCTCTTATTTTCTCCGCGTCGATATAATTCAAGATCCAATTATAGCTGACATTGACTGTGATCTTGTGCATGTAGAAAATACACCAACGAAGGACAACTTGCACCAATTTATAATAAAATTCGAAGACCATAAACATGTTTGCATAAATGCAATATGCCATTTCAAAGAGTATATTAATGAGGTTAATGAACCCCGATTAAAGCCATCCGTATGATGTTATTTTGAGTAATCGAAACCTGAAAAAATTTATACAGCGCACATAAAGCTACTGTTACATGTTTAGTCGCTGTGCGGTGTACGCTTCAATATTTACATTAATTAAACAGTATGCACTCCAAGCTGTACAAATAAAAGTTTCAGAATGCATTGTTTCATGATATGATTGATATCGTTGTGGCCGCCATGCAAAAACACATTGTTATGTCTGAAAGCGAATTGAAAACAGATACGATTGCCGCAAGAAAATTTCTAATGCAATAATATAAATGTTATTTTAGAAATCATTGCTTAAAATAACAATTGAAAGTGTAAACGTGCTAACAAAGCAAATAAATATTGTGACGGTCATTTTATTTTTAGTGATGAGTGACACCAGATGAGAGATGGACCTTCATCCCTTAAAAATAAAAATGCTCGATATATGAAGAAAACAAATACGATTTGTTAAGAAATGTTGAAATAGAAGACCAACTGACAAGCGCAATAACGTTGAATCATTTATCACGATCATAACAACATATAATGATTAATAAATCACACGATTAAGAAAATATTCTATTTAGAAATATGACTAGCGTTTTTTTTTTGCAGTTAATGTGTCTCTCCTGTGTTGCAATTAAGTTTGAGTTTGTACTTTAATTTTAAGTTTAAAAAAATAAATTTATCTCTTTGATAACCAATATCTATGTGTAAATATTTACTATAGATAATTACTTGTAGGTATATCTAGGTATTTGTTTATTTCATAACCAATTAATTTAAAAGCCACGAGCTGAATTTCAGTGAATTTTACAGTGTAAAAAACACAATCACAGGTGATAAGAATAAGGTATTTGCTTATATTTGTGACTTAACAGTTTAAAATAGGTAAATAGTGAGTAGCTGATGATGTCAGAGCACTTGTCAGTGAAGGTTATATAAACTAGATACGGTAATGTGTTGAAAACGTCAAGTTGCTGTGGTTTACCTGCAATAATAATTAGCAATTCGATAATCAGCGCCGGCAAAGACTTTCTATTTTCCTCTGCCATTGTCGCCGTTTGCAGTAATTCATTTGCGATGCGTTGATGTCAGATCTCCAACTTTGCACACACTTCGAACGCGTGCGATTTGTACGCACCAACACGTTGGGATTGCGATATTATTGAGATAAATAAAAATAAACGGGTCGGTGTCGGTATATCCTTCAAGCTCAGCTGATTCTCTACGAGACGGCGCACGACGCACGACTCGATCGAACCGCACCGCAACACGAGCGGCGAATGACTGAATTTGTATTACGCAGCCGGAGTAGGCACCGGCCAACTCATCCAGTGTGAGTGAGCGGAATTGGAACCTGAATGAAAGGACTAAAAGGGCTTCATATACTACTATGTATGTATTTCGTTTGTATTTTTTAACTTCGTGACATTCTAACTTGTAATTAATAACCGCTGAATTTGTGGTCCTTGGTCTTTTTTTAACCACAAATTACTAAATAACAGCAAATTGTCTACAACAGTAAATTGAGCAAACGTCAAAGTTTCTCTTATTTTTTAAATTTAGCAATGTACATCACTTATCTACGTTGCGTAAATTGTTTTATGTGCAAATTTATAATGATTTGTCATTTTTTATTGGCAAAAATACAAAATTTTGGAACAGTATGATTCACCAATACATTATTTTATTTTTCACACACAATATTACTATTTTAGATACATTTACAGTTGATGTTAATAAAAAAATAAAATTGAATTTTTGAGTTGCTTTCACACTAGTTGACCAATTAAAATAAAACTAATCTGTTATCAAAAAATGTTTATTTACTCCTTAATCTGCCAATTAACCCAAATTTGTTTGTTTAAATTAGCTTGGTTAAGTTTAATCACTTAAATTAGTAAACATAAAAAGATTAGCATACAATTAGTTTAAATTCCATTTTTTTAACTGGGTTAGTAAATATTTAGATTATTTTGTAAACATACTAACATTTCTAGTACTTGATTTTTATTGAATGAACATAATAATTAACTCAACACAATATTTGTAAAAATTTAATTTAAATAAATTTTTAGTAATGCCTCCATGAATTCCTTTTGATATATTTTATGTTCAACATGTTTTCTTGATGTATATTTAAACGCCATAAATCTTATGGTTTTTCAGCTCCTTTTACGCAGAGTAAATTTCAGGTAATTGCGTAATGCTTTAAATCATTTAAGACTTCCGCAAGCAACCTCATCTTATTTCTGTATCCTGTCATTTAATGGCACACCTGTTTCCAATTCGACGCGGTAGCTGTACATTTTTATGCTAAGTAATTGCAACCTGCTGTTGCCATTCGAACCGCTTCGTGTTCCTTTTTCCCAGTAGCGATGGAAGCAATTTCGTCGCCGGTTTAAATCGGGGAAATTAACATCGTCGAATGCCGAACGCGAATTCCGTGCCCACACAACGCACAAGAGCAGGGCGCGGCATTTTTGCGATTTCGGCCCGGGCTCGTAATATTCGAAAATGCCAAACCCTGGGCGCGCGCAGGAAACACGCTGTCGACGACGACGACGTGTCAGAGAGGGTCAGGATTAGGATACACGATATTGCGCTCCTGTTTTGCGTGGGCGGCGTGGCGTGGGTGCTTGCGCGGGTGGAACGTCTGCGCGGTTTGGATGAATGGAATGTACGGAAAGCGGCCGTAAAACGTAAACCCCGCAGCATGTATACGGTTTTCCACGTTGCTCTTTCCCGACACGCGCATAGCATACCTCATGGTATTTCTTTGTGTACGCGCAGTGTGTGTGTGTGTGAGCTGCGAGACAGAACGCCCTTTATCGAACCAACTGGATGCACGCCAACTCGCGATATGCCCCGCTGGCCACACTGCCACCCACACTGACGATTTCATGCACAATATTATCTTTAATTGAATTTTTCATTTTTTAGTTATTGTCATGTGTTCTGTGCACATCTTTCATGTTCTTGGAAGGCAAGGCGGTTAATTTCTTAGTGTGTGTGAAGATATTGTATACAGGATGTTATGTTTATATAATACTATGTATTTATATAGTAATGATTTTATTGTGCCAATGCACATAAAGATAAACAATCCATTGATTTACTTTTATTTCAATTTATTACGTTCTAACTAACAGGAAGTAGAAGAAGTGAACTAAAGCTGAAGCAAAAACAGTTTCATAATTGAATCGTATTTCTATCTTATCATTTCCGATTACTTTATTACCCATAAGAACTGTTGGAAATAATGAATGACTTTAACTCAATTAAGTAAAAATATACCTATTTAAATGATGGGATTAGATTAATTTAATAGTGGTGTAAAAAAAGTGTTATCTGATTGTTAAAATAACAAGTTTTAAACCTGGCCATGAATGACGACATTTGAATGAGCTCATTGTCATTAAAAAAAGTCTTACGACTACATTGAATAATTTTTGTTTTCGCATTGTTATTCTCGAACTGCCTGTACTGTTATAACGAACTTCAGACATTTTATTGCCGAAGGCGTCTATGCATAATGTCCCTTTCTTGTTTCAACTACACGCTTCGGATGTTTATATTATCATACAGGGGTGAAATCATATTTTATGGCTTTCAACCTGGGGCAACTTCACGACTGTCTAGCGACAAACACTATGTTAACTCCAGGCCCTAACACATAAAATTATTTCATAATGCGTCGCATTTAAGTGCTATATGCACATCATAAAGCGTCGACAAGTTTTTAATGGCTTTGTAATTCTTGTAATTCGAATCGCCTTCAAGATTCCTGTCGGCACTCCGCTCGATTAAACAAAACGCCATAGCATGCTCCCTTTTATTGCTTGTAGTCACTGACAATGTTTGCTGTGAAAAAGCTGGAAAGGTTTTGTCGTCAAATATTCAAACGTATTTGATTTAGTCTTCGAAAGCACTTAGCAAACAAGTGTCCATTAAGGCGTTAAGTGGCATTTCAATAATCAGAAATAACGAATATGCAGTTAGATATTTTGAGTGATCGTGGGATTAATTGTTAATGTTCTTCGCATTGAGTGCATATAAGATATGAATTAAAATGAAATAAAATAAAATTTAGCAGAATTTTGTATTTGATGTAAGCAAATCTAACGATTTACATAAAATGAAAAGTGTTACTATCAGATAACGTTAACTTAATAAAAAATTCAACAAAATCTATAAAATAAGGTTGAATCTGACCTTTTACCAAAATTAATTTTTGAAAAGGGTACACTGAGAGTGTTAAGGGTAGAAAAGAAGTGCAAAGTGTAATGGATCTAGAACAATTAGACGTTGTGCTGCCCTCTTACATTGAAAACGTGTACGATTCAAAATTATTTGTAGCCATAACAGTTGCCTACGTCGCATTCTACTGTAAGACAAATGCTTAATCCTGTTCTTCACTAGATGGCAAACTAACTGCAAAAATTTAGAAAATTCATCTATTTTGTAGATTCACGTATTTGCAATGATCGATAAATATTAAACTTCTTTCCGCAAAAAATTATTTGTATACAGTTATGATCATTAATAATAACATATGTTTAATTCCGTTTATTTATAATAATGGCATAACTATTTAATTTATAACTATTAATATTTTTATCTATTATATTTTCCTCTCACAGCACAGCTCAATGAGTCTAACCAGTTATTTATAAAATGATATTATTAAGAAAGAGTAGCGAAAGTTGTCTTCATTGGACCACCATCGTATCTTGACAACTATAAAGTAATTTGTTCAGCTTGCTTCTGAGCCCTACTTGTTGAATTAGACCAATACAATATAATACAAACCAAGACAACGAGATTTTGTTTTGTTTGTAACAAATCAGACATGATTTGGTGCATCAAATGTCATATTTGGATTCACGAAAAATGTGTCCAAATTAGTCCAAATCGTCTTAATGTTAAGAAATATTTTTACAATAACACTTTGTAATATATATGGTCCAACTAAGGCAAACAGTGGTCTAATTTCTTTGACTGGACCAAAAACAAAAATTTTGTTTCTATTTCACATTTTAGATTATATTTTCAGAGTAGTATGTAAATGAAAATACTAACACTTGTTGGTAATACATGTATTTCCTAATATGCTATCGCTTTCATCCTAAATACGTGCATGAAAATTAAGAACATCAAAACGGTCCAGTCTAGACTACAGACTACCCTCCCCTATACTTATATTATTTTTATATGTGTTTTACTAAACAATATAATAAAAAGAATAGTTTGTTACAGAGTATAACAAGATGGTTAAATATAATAGTCATATGGTTAAAAATGAATTTAACAAACATATATCAAATATAATTATAATCCAAAGAGAGCAGATACTAATCCGATTATCTCCGATTGTTGTGCTCATGCATCCAAATCGGCAATCACCCATCAGACAAATTGTCATTGGAATTGTTCACACAGACCGGATTTAAAGCATCCCACTGTTTTCTATTCCAAACCTTGATCCTTTTCATATATAACTAATTTCATCAAGGCGCATTTCTACAATACCAGAACGTTGATGCACACATCACAGAATGCACATTGGCCAATAGGCTGGAAATACAGCATTGACATGGACCCGAAACACAGCTCAGGAGGAATCTGGATCAAAACGACTGGGGACAGCAATTTGGGAACTAATAAAGTATCTGCAAATAGATCCTGCGTATATATGTGTGGACTCGACTCGGAAAGTGCATCGCAGTGCTCAACGAGCATTCAACTATTTTTAATCCTCGTATAAAGAATGACGCCCGAGTGTTCCATTATTCGCACTATTTGCTCACAGCTTCGCGCCACTTGTATAAGCCTACTGTCTGCCTGCGAGGTGCAACGAAACAATGAACGATTGAAAATTAAATAGAACGCTGCACGCTTAAAAATTAATATTCGTGGCAGTCAGCAAACTATTAAAAAAATCTGCGAAGAAAAACCTCAAAAAAAGAAAATTTCCCAATTGAAATCACTGTTGGGAAACCGAATATTTAATTTAAGAACGAAGCGATCAGGAAAGTGTGAAAGCGTGTGATGCAAATTCGAGTTTGGAGTACACACCGCTATCGCTGTGGAATGGTTGGATATGCGGAGCGGAAAATGGAAATGTCGGTGTCGTGTGGGCACTGACACGTGCCACCGGAATTGACACTGGCAATGTAAATAGCAAGCGGAGGATGCGAAACGGAACGCGGCGGCGAGGACGAGTGGATCCCATCCACAACCGAATAATGAATATACACCGTCGCTTTGTACACGCGGGCGGCAATGTGTGTGCAC